AGACCTCGTTCACTGCTTCTGATGTCAAGTCTGGTTATAAATATGGTGATCTATAACTTGCATTGCCACGATTTGATGATTCAACAGGTACCTCTGTCCATGTGACCTCTGACTCAGGATTCTGCATAGTAGGAGCACCAAACAGTCTTGTTTCAACTGCTTCCAACGCAGGAGCGGCATACTTACTTGAGAATCAACGTAACCTGTCCTACCGACAATTGACGAAGTTGGTGGCAAATGATCCCTCTGAAAATGATTTTTTTGGTATGCGAATGAATGGTTTACACATGAAGCTGCTGAGAAATTATTACAGGTACTTCAATATCGTCATTAAATCTGAGCACCGACGATCCAACAGAGTATGCCTCCATGGAAATTGTTGTCGGAGCTCCTGGCAAAACCAACGTAAATTATCCCCCGTATCCTCGACAGACCTTTTCAGGTCAAACTAATTACAATGCTGGAGCAGTCTATGTCTTTGCACGACCGAAAGGGTATTTGATGACATATTTGACTTCCAACCTAAACGTCGGGGACACTACAATCTACGTCGAGTCTGTAACGAACTTGTTGGGGTCTGGAACATCAGGAATCATATCTGTTGGTCAAAACCAAAATATTGTAATAGTGAATGTTGATTCTAGTTTGGGTGCTCTGTATGCGAATTCCAGCATACGTTTCTTTGCAGGTGTCGGCGAAACAGTCATATCTCAACTATCTAACAACGACACATCTTACGAAGTTCCTCAAGTTGAAAAGCTGACTGCACAAAGCACGTCTTGTGGTCAAGGTGGGGTTCATTATGATTTCGTGAATTCGGGCAGCAGTCATGTAGCTGATTATTCTACGGGAGCATACTTGAAGCTCAGACTTTACCCTGGAAACAATCAAATTTGTGTATCTTCTGCTGCTGCACTTTTTGGGGCTCAATATGCCGGTGGATCGCAACCATATAGTCAAGGAGATTCAACAGATGTTCGATTTTATATCATTTGCTCCTCTAACGCTGCGATCGCCGTGTTGAATTCATACACGATTGGTTCTTGCTACCCAAATGCGGGCAATAGCTATCAATATTCAAGCACTGGCGACACAGTCTACATAGTGTCATCTACTGTGACGTCAAATTGCGGTTTAGGGACAGTTTTGTACAAAGCTCCATTGTTCTCAGTGAATCCTCCAATGACATCTTGCTTCGAATACGAGTACGTCACTTCATCTCGAGTTCCAGGAGGAAAAACTCGAATTCTTGCCAGCATATCTGGACAATCTACCACTCAAGCTGCGCTGGGATATGCTGCAGACTCTGGATCTTCGTCATTGACCGTTAAAAGTGCTATTTCACTCTTTCAAGCAGAGCTTTGGGGATCGTTTGTACAAGTAAATAGTCAGAGTAGCTTCGTTTTACCTGACAGTGCATCAGATATTTCCGGATATTACGTTGGCTGGAGCCTGACTGTAGACCTTGATGGAAACATAGGTACGACATCGGACGTGCAATCTTTGCTGGTTGATTCTTATTCAAGCTCAAGAGCAATGACTACTTCATCTACTTTCAGCTCATTGCCAACTACAAATTCATTGTTTGTTCTCTCCGTATGGCAAAGGAAACGGTACTTGGCCACCGATTCCAATACCGGAATCTACGTTAATGACGTCAACTTTTTCACTAATGTCCTTCAAGTTTCAAATGTCAAAGCTGCAGAATACGTTGGAGCTGAAATTCGACAGGCAGTCAAAGACTACCAATCGATCGACCTTTCCAAGGATTCGCCTACTGTTGATAACATATTCTTAAAGTGTGTGATCAGAATCATCCAAGGGAAGGGAACCGGACAAGCAAGATATATCACAGCATATGATGGCCGATATCGGATTGCGACCGTTTCCTCATCATGGACAATTTTGCCGGACTCCACGAGCCAATACGTGATCTTAGGGAAGCCTTTGTGTGTGAATAATTGTGGCAACGACGGCTTTGGGTATTCCCTGTCCACCTCCAGAATGTCGGATTCAACTCATGTGATGGCTGTTGGTGCTCCCTGGGCTGGATCGCATACATACTGCACATCCTTTGATGGTCAAGGGCGTTGTGCAAACTGGTATTCTCCCTTAGTTCAATCTGGAAGAGTATATCTGTTTCAAAGGACAACAAACGCTACCAGAAATCGTTGGATCTTAATCAAGATCTTGGAAGCTCCTTCTACTTCATCTGCCTTGAACACAGTTGGGGCTTCTAGCGCTATGAGTATAAACAACATATTGACTTCTTCAGAGCTCACAGCTTCAAATTACGATCATTTCGGGTATAGCGTAGCGCTCAAAGATGATGTTTTGTACGTTGGAGTTCCATGGGCAGGGTCGAGCAATATAGGATGTGTGCATGTCTTCATGAAGGATTACGCGGTAATTGAAATAGGCAGCATCTCTTGCGGACTGTGTGCAGGAACAAGCGTTACCATAGGCACAATCAGCGCAAGCGATCCCTTGAACAAACCAAGGATATATCAATCCTCTTATGTCGGTTACATCATCACAATCAATGGAGAATCGAGGCAAATCGTAGACTATCACATCACTGGTGGAAGTGGTATAGGATGGGGAGATGGTGGCACCGCAATAGTAACTATTTCAAGTTCTTTCACATTCACCTTGATCTCTGGTCTCCAGTATTTCATCCACAATAGCTTCTGCGAGAAGACTTTGCAAAATAATTGGGGTTATCGGACTACTTTGACCTCGAATATTCCTAAAGCTGAAGATCACTTTGGTAAAGTATTGGATGTTTGGTTTTAATTCTGATGACGTTGACAGGGTACTCAGTCTCCGTTGCTACTCACTTTCTAGTCGTTGGGGTGCCGAAATACGACATGCCCTTCTATGGACTGAAGAATCGCCTGACCGATGCAGGTGGAGTCTTTGTTTTCAAAAGACAAAGAGGAATCGTGGAAGATCGAGAATACCCTGTATGGACGATAGCTCAAATTCTGACTCAGAATTCGGATTCTTTTTGGGAAAGCAACCTCGGTTCAAATTTGGGAGTATCTGTTCAAATAGATCAGCGAGAGTCTACAATCGTGTCTGGGGCTCCGTTCACCGATGTCGATTCCTATCAGAGCAATTCGCACTTTGTATTCAGCCAGGTTCAAGGATATCTACCAAGCTCGGGAGGTGTGGGTGTATATTTCAAATCTGGCCACGAAATATACACATATTTGGTACAAAGCTTTGACGCATATGCTTCATACATAATTGTTTCAACAGCCTCTGATATTTTTCCTTCAGACACATGTGGAACACTTTCGATAGGAAGAAATCCTGCAATTCAAGTGAACGATGTTAACTTCTTAAACAACACTCTGTATGTGTCTCCAAGGTCAGTCGTCTTTTCAGTAACTGCAAATCTTTCCAACGGAAAAAGGATCAAAGTCATCCGAAAAGACTTATGGACGTTTGGAGGAATTCACATCCCATTCAATTCAGTTGCTGGTGGTGTTGTAGGAATGTCTGCCAGTATTGCAGACTCTGGTGTTTTGTTTGCTGGAGCTCCTCTTGGGGAGATGAACTACACGATCTTTTCATCTAATGCAAATTCAGACACTCGAGGTGGTGTGGTGCATCGGTTTCAAATCTACAGAAGAAATGTGGTCAATTCTTTTGATGGAGCAGATTTTGAAAGCGGTTTTGTTTCGCAATTTTACGATAATTACACCATCGCCATTCAGGTATCTGCAGTACCTGTTGAAAACTACTATCAGTTCTTTCAGATTACAATCAGTGGCGAGTCCAGAAGGATTGTCTATTATTCAGGGACTTCTCGTATCGTTTCAGTTGAGATTCCCTTCACCGTCAGCATTGAACCAGGAATTAGTACTTATTCCATATCGGATTTTGTGTATGGTTCAACCAACGTCATCAACGACATCTCAACACCAGCAAGCTCGTGCTTAACTCTACTAGAAAGCGGATATTCACAGTCAGGTTATTACTGGATCCAATCTCCAGTAAACGGTAATGTTTTCATCGGATACTGTGATCAAGTCACAGAAGGAGGTGGATGGTTGATGTGTTATACTGATGACAACGAGGTCGACATCGCAAATGAATATGGCTACGTGGCTGGGTTTCCATATGGACGTGCAGGATATAGATCGGATTGTAGGGATTATCCCTTCAATGAAATTCTTTACCGACTTCAAAATGATGACCAAAATTATGAGAGCGAGGATTATGCATATTTTTGGGCTGTAAATCGCAAGCCTGTCATTGCCTCCACAGATTATTGGGGAATGTATCCCGTGGCTGATGTATACGGAAATCTGACCTTCTTTCGGGTCGACAACGATCTTGCACAAAATCCGTATCAGCTTCTCGTTTGTGCCAATGGATTCACAACTGGATTTTTCATGTCAGGATTGACATCAACATCTGTCTGCGAGACTGGATGGAAATCCTGCTCAAATTGGTGCAGAGATACCAGCTCTCAATACTTCAGACATGCATACTCGCCGCGGGCAAACAGAAATGATGGAGCCTTCGTGAATTTCACAGGTGTTTCTTTCAATCAGAATGGATATGGAGTATCCCCACGTCAACGAATGAGTGTTGGGATTCGTGCGCAAGGCAAAAGCTGCATGGCTGGTTGGCAAGGCGACGGAACATCATGTATCTGTCCAGTAGTAGCATTCACATCCCTTGTCGTAGCGTTCTGGAGGTTTGAAGATGGTTTAGATACTCAACAAGTCTTGTCTTTGATACCTGATGTTAGCAAACGTCTTGGTGGACAATATTCAATAGACACTCGAAAAGTAGGATCATTGGGAATGAGTGATTTGGTTACAAAATCGCTAAACAATGATCTCCTCTTTTTCTACGACTACGCCCCACTGTACACTAATTGGGCTCCGCAAAATGATACGTTTGCAGTGCTTTGCAAAAACAATAAATTCGCTCTAGTATTCAATGGATCACAATATCTGAGGACGACAACATATGCAGAAATGAACTCAAGAACGTTTCGAGCATTCACATGGGAGGTTTCGGTATACTTCGAGAGCATCTCTGGAAATCAAACGTTACTATCATGGCACGATCCTGCTGGAAACTATTCCATGAGCCTCTTCAAGAATGAAAACAACCATATCGCGTTCCAGGTGCGGACTGCAAACGAAACCTTGTTGGCATTCGGAAGAAATTCATATGGTGCCGGGAACTGGCATCACTTGGCTGTGTCTTATGACGGTGGCATTGCCGGAGAGATTCGCCTCTATCGTCTTGACACAAGCGGAGCAGCCATCACAAGATCTGATTGTCTCAGCGGTGTCTGTTTGACAGGGAATGTGTCGGGAACAATAGGAAGTCAAGGATCTGGATTTGGTGATGGAATCTTGTTGAGGAGCGGAACGACAAGTGGGTGCTCACAAGGCTTGATCATCAGTGCTGTCGGAGGCGGGAAGTGCAAAGCAGCATCTGCGACAATCAACAATCGACCGTGCTTGAATGCATCGGATTGCGGAGTTGACGGGCAATGCATTGTGGGATATGATTTCAGTGCCGTTGTGACTAGTGTAGGACCGCTGGGTGAAATTTCACAAGTGAAAATCACAAACCCTGGTCGAGGATATTCTTCAAATCCGAAGTTGATTGTGAATTCTGATCTTTGCACATGCAACGGAGCTCCGGGCAATTCTTTCGGGAATCTAGATCCATGCATCATTGCGATTAGAAGCACTGGGAGAACCGAAAGAAAGTCAAATTTCAGATGGATAAGAGAAGATTCATTTCCAGGTAAGCGATTTGAAACCTATTGCAGGCTCGAATCTGAAATCCTTGTAGTCAGATGGTCTAACCTCGCAGGATGGGGAGATGCTGGCGACACCAGCGGATGCAGCGAGTCCTCTAGTGGCTCTTGTCCCTTCGTGTCGCCTAAAGTAGCGGGTTGGCGGTGGACCGTCGGGATGGTGAGCAGCGTTCCTTGCTGATCGGAAGGTTCATACTCATCTTGCAACAGGGTTTCGAGTGTAGCAGATCTGCCTGCTCCCCGGGCAACTTCCTCATCGGCTCCCTGGACGAGATTCGCATCAGCTCGACGGCTCTCGACCTGGAGGTGGAGTCCCTTTGGCAGCCGTAGAGAAATAAAAGGTCTGGTGGGGAGAGGGTTACTTTGGCAAACAGCAATGCAGAACACAGATCTTCACCTGTTCCTCAATGTCGGAATGCTCAGTGGCATCGTTTGTAGTCTAGAACAACGTATCTCAGTACACATTTGAGTAGCACATAAGAAAGGCTGACCGCATCTGCACCCCTTTTTTGGTCTCTGTTGATTTGACCTTGGAATTTCGACTGTTCTTTATCGAGCTTAGACAGGCAAGGACATGCTGCTTTCATGCGATGCAAGTCCATTTCCACAGCCAAGTCGTGCAGTGCTTCAGATGTTGCTGACAAAGAGATTCCCTCCTCTTGTATTCTACAAGCGACAGTATCAAGTACTTTCACACGGGGTACTCCCTCACCTCTTCACCGCAGCTTGGTGGTATCCGAAAGGGAAAATCCCATAATCTTCCGATTCCTCTTCAATCTCTTCCACGTGCCCGAGTTGTGCTGAGCATCCTGAGGTTCGCTTGTCCGTTGGAGTGCCCGACCTTTCGTTGTCGTTTTCATCAGATGGCTGAGCAGCCGCTGCATCGGCTGCCCTATCAGCATGTGCAACGCTGCCGTTGGAGCATAAAGTCCTCTCCATTTCTACCCTTCCACTCATGACCTCGGCAAAGGGTGCCAGGGAATTTCCTGCCGGCTCAGTGATTGTGTGCGGCGCACAGGCGCGTCGGCACAGACCTAGAAGGGTGCTGGAATATACCAGAGCTCTTGAGCCCTCGTGAACTGACAAGACACCTACATGGAGTGAACGTTGTCAAGGGAGTTGCTGAGAAACCTGCTCCAGAGTTCCCGCTGACATTGCAAGACTTGAGGATCATGCTTCCTCCTGTAAAGAGATGAGGAGAGAAGGAGACGGAAGTGATCACCTTCTTGAGCTGTTGCGCCACTTCGATTCGAAAGTAAGATCTGAAATGCGGTCTAGGTGGGCAAACACTCAGACATTCAATGCACACCTGACAATCTGCTGCATAAAGAACGGACCCCGTACCAAAAACAGCCGCATTGGCTAGATTATTGTACGTGAGGTTTGAGAACTGACAGAATAAGTTGCCCTTTGAAATCTGTACGAAGTGAGCAACAGCACACCTGTATTGTTCCTACTGTACCGCTAAGCCTTGCATGCGGTTCTGAGAAATTTTGCAATTTCTAAATTGAACATTTGAATGAACGCCCTCCACGGCGATTCCCTTCATCGATTTCATGGTGAGTATGAATTTTTGAGTAGAAGGGAATTCAGTGAACCTGCTTTTCGTTACCACAAAACTCTGACGAATCAATAGACACGTTGCAGAAATTTCCCTTGACCACTATTCCTGCATCTCCGTTCCTCGTGCAAGTAAACTATTCCAAACAATAAGGGCTTGCATGCGTGACGGGGGCGAGCATGAAAACCTGTTTCAACAGCATTTGAGATCGGCCATCGAGCATTATCCCTGCACTTCCTGATAGCAATTCAGTGAAGTGAAGAACATGATGTATGTACCGCATCCAGAAATATTACAACTATAGCAAGAAATCCTGAGAAGTGGTTGGAATTACAAACAACAGGTATCAGAAGAACCTTGATGAATCTACAGCGTGGATGCCAAAACCTGTGTCAGAGAAGATGTCGCAACCATCAAATTTGACACAAGCTTGCAATATCTGTTCGCGAACGAATGATATCAGTTTGGTTTTGATCCAATAGCATTTCTGATCCACAAACCTTAATACAAGAGTCTGTTTGCCCACCTGAGTCGCGAGAATGTCAGGCTTGTTCTCTGCAATGCATGCAAACCTAAGGAATTCCCATCCAAACTTTGAAAACCCATCGTAGTGACATACGAATCTGCACTCGAAGACTCTGTTGTAGAGTTTGTCCCTCTTAGAGTAAGTCTGCACCATGATTATCTGCAAAGTGGATGGACGGGAAGGTGTCTAACGTTCTGTTGCCCTCGGTTCGAAGGATTGCCTTGGCATGCTCGCTTCATGAATCGTTATTTCTTCGATATTGGTTCAGATATAACACCTATCACTTCTGAGAGAGACAGGAGGATGTAATGTTAGCTCTTCATTTCCAAGGTTGTGATGTCCAGCCCGAGCAATCAACGTTGACTTGTTTTTCGACGTTCTGCCACAACCTTTGAGTTTGTAGCAAGTCGAGCAAACTTCAGACCGCAGAGAGAAGCATTTGAGCGCGAGCGACGAGAGAGGCTGTGGAGATGGAGGGTTCAATGTTGGCGATGAGGAGCAGAACGCCAGGGTCAGCCCTAGCATGCAGGTTGCCAAGCCATGGCTCCGCATAGTTCGCATCAAGCAAAATTTCCCGGTCCGCCTCACGACAAATTTTTCATTGAGTAGAAGACATTGTCCGCTGAACGGGAAATACTTAATAGATTCCTTGGAGGCAGTAATTCGGGGTCGTACTGTGCCCGGGGATATGGCAAGCCTGCCTCGGCTTTCCTGTACACAAGAACTTTAGGTCCGCCACCAGTCGGGCAGCGATAATGGAGTATGGCACAAGGCGATGAGAGCAGATATCCAGCGGTAACGCTCAGCTTCTTGACATGTCGCGGTGGGGGCATACGCAACGAATATTCATCGCCGACTCGAACAAGCTTGCAGGAACAAGTGACGACAAGGCAGAAGAAGCCAATCAATGGGCTGCTGACTCAGAGAAGAACGAGGAGGACGAGAGCCGCGATGAGACCCCTCATGAGCTCATTTCTCAAAGGGCCGGAACTCTCTTCCGAAAAGTCACTCTAATCAAGAACTTTTCCAGTCCTTCCACCACCAAATTTGCACTTGATGACAAAATCGCTCATGGTCAGACCCGCCAGCCCATTTCTCTCGATGACTCCCTTTTCGAGCTCAGCCAGTCATCCTCAAGCCTTCCTGCTGATCTCACTGCCGCGGAAGAGAATGAAATGAGCCACGAGCGTGTTTCACTGTCACTCGGAATGGACTTCAGGCCAGGAACAAGACAAGGCAAGAATCCGGCAAGAGATGCATCAGTCAGATCTTTTTGTGTGCTGAGAATGTATCACAGGCAACTGCCGGTCTTCTCTTGTCAAAGACATCGGACGGTTTCAGAGTTGAAGGCATCATGACTGGCAGCGCCGGTCCTTCTTGATCTTCTTCATTCATAACTTGACCCTCGTAATATGTCAGCTGAAAACTTGATTTTCAAAGGCGATGTTGTGAGCAAGATTGACGAGAATAGGTGTGCTCCACAGTTTCGAAGAGCAGTGAATGACTCTGATGATTTTTAGTGCAAAGATGATGAACTTGCGACAAGCCCGCGAGTGTTTGCGCGGAACCTCGGGAAGCACTGTGCTGATCTCATTCTTTCGTCCTTCAAACAGCTCAGAGGAACGACAAATCGAAGTCACCCGACGAATTCTTTCTGAGAGCTCAATTGAAATGCCCAAGGAGTACATATCAACTGAAGTAGAGTCTATCTCATCGGTAGGGCAGAACCTCTATGGTCAGTTGATGCAAACAGGAATCGAAGAAAGCTCTTCACCTCTTCAAGTTGACCCAAAACTTCTCAGCAAGCTTGAATTGAATAATCGAATATGCCTAGTTTCATCCGGTTGGTATCACGGAATACTTGTTGCAAAGAAGAAATGGAATGTAGGACTACCTCCAGTCATTTCAGATGAGATGTATCGAAATGAAAAAGAATTTCCCACCAGAACGATAGCAAAGCATCTGATCGATTGGGCTACGGTCGAGTATAGGAAAAAGGCTAGAAGGAAAATGGTTTTACCGGATGATGCAGACCAGATTACGACATTGTTCGGCAGAAATGAAATTCTGGGTATGTATGTGAGAATGGTTGAGACAGGAGCATACGGCAGCGCTAAGAAAGAATGCAGCACTTACGCATGGGGCATGAACACGTCAGGGCAACTGGGTCTAGGACATGTTGAGCATTCCTTTGCCTTGCGTCCGATTGAAAACTTGACGAGCATTCGCATCCGTCAAGTCGCTTGCGGTGCATTTCATACTCTTCTCTTGAGCGATGGATCCGGGCTCATCTCCTTCGGGAACAACAAGAATGGTCAGCTGGGAAACGGCACGTTTGAATCGTGCTCGACTGCTCAGTTCGTCATGGCCCTCACGGATGATGAGATAAGGAACAGCAGCGACATCGAAGCTCCTTCTCGAATCTTGTTGGTCGACGACATTCCCCATCACACCTCTAACCTTGATCTACGGCACACTTTCTCTTCGTTGTTTGGATTTGTTGACATGGAATTTGAAAAAGATGCTTCTCTCTTTGGATCTTCACGTTCTACTCGCAAGAAGCGTATCCTGGTATTTTTCCAAGATGAACTATGTGCAGCTGAGGCTCGATCCAAAATCATGGAGAAACGAATTAAACTGCCGATTCCTCCAGAGACTTCACTGGTTGTGTCGTGCTTCAGTAAGTCAGCAACACACACAAATTTCTCCAGCAAGAGCAGCACCGGATATTGTCGCTGTTTGTTAAAGCAGAGAGTCATGGTGAAGCAGATTGCAGCTGGTTATGACCACAGCCTGGCACTCCTCGATGATGGAACGGCTCTGGGCTGGGGCAACAACAAATGGGGGCAGCTCGGTCTCGATGCCTTGACCTTAGACCCTGAGATGGTCTTGGAAATCAGTCAGTTACCCAAGAACTGGAAGTACTCAGTGTGTTGCCCGACAACTATTCCTGTAGTGCAAGCAAACAAAACTTCTCGAGTCTCAGTCGCATCTATCCACGCCGGAGGCAACCACAGTCTCTTCACAAGCGCAGATGACAGTATCTTCGCATGCGGTCGGAATGATTTCGGACAACTTGGTCTGGGCAAGTCGTTTGAGGAAAGTGTGCATCGTGCGTTTGAGGTGTACGAGCTGAGCAAGAAAGGGATCAGATCGATTCACTGCGGGGCATCTCACAATTTTGTTGTCTTGTTCAATGGGACAGTGCTCGCCTGGGGTCGCAACGATTTCAAGCAACTTGGCATCTTTTCGACTGATCAACCGATACAAAAACCGTCAGAAGTAGAAAGTCTCAGAAGCAAGTCCGTGCTGGATATTGTGACGAATGAACACACGTTTGTCTTGTGCCAAGACAGCGAGGTGCTCGCATTTGGTCTCAACAAGAGCGGGCAGTTGGGCTTGGGACACACGTCAAAGGTCACCCGACCCGAGGTGCCGGAGTGGAGCAAGCAAGGAATGAGAATGTCGATCACCTCAGGAGCGTTTCACGCAATCCTGCTGACAAAGATGCCATGCATCTCAGCATCGTCTGGTCTGAGTAGGAGTGTCTGGTCGTGGGGCTATAACAAACACGGAGAGCTGGGATTGGGATGGAAATCCTTGGAAATCAACAAGATGGCAATTGGGTCAAAGGTTCCTGTCCCTATTGCGTTCTTGAAGGGGCTAGATGTCAGCATCTTTGAGTGCGGTTGGTATCATTCTTTTGCTGTGATCAACAGGAGAGATATTTACGGCGATGGAACTAAGATTTTCGGAGCTCCGGTTTTTGCTCAAGATTCCGAACAAGCTATCTTCGCTTTTGGATACAATCGACAAGGTCAGCTTGGGCTTGGACATACAGTTGATCAAGAGAAACTTACATTTCTTGATGCGCGAATGTGGGGGATGAAGTTCTCTGTGAAGAGAATCTTTTGTGCAGGTCTGAGTACGTATTTTCTGTGCACGGACAACAGTGTGTGGTCCATGGGAAGCAATGGAAAAGGACAACTTGGATGCGGAAAGATCGGAGGAAAGTCCAAGTCGCCAATGCTGGTAGAAAAGCTTTCCTTCAAAGGCGTTGTGCACATGTCTTGTGGGTATGATCATTGCTTTGCGATTGTGAGTGCTCAAGGAAGAAGGAACGTGCTTGGCTTTGGAGCCAACGGTTTCGGACAGCTTGGTTTAGGCAACACTTCTGATGTGGCTATTCCAACCCCAGTCGACAAGGTGACAAGGGTTGGCATCCAACAAGTGGTATGCGGGGGCAATCACACTATGGTCCTTTCCAAGGACAAAGTCTACGCGTTCGGCAGGAACGACTTCGGTCAGCTTGGCTTGGGAGATACTGTTGATGTCTCGTCCCCTCAAGAAGTCCGCAGCTTGTCTCGATTACCCAAGCTCAAGATGATCTCGTCTGTTGTCTGTGGAGCAAGTCACAGTCTCTTCCTGACTGTAGCTGGAGAGCTGTTGGGATGTGGACGGAATGATCTTGGTCAGCTGGGGCTCGGAAATGAAACCGTCAAAGTGACTCTTCCTCTTCCCATCCTGACACGCGAGGTGACCTCTTGTGTTCTCTTGTTCTCTTCTGATCTGTTGCCCAGCAACTCCGAGACATCAAAGTCATTCAGGTGGCCGCAGGCGAGCACACGCTCCTTCTGCTCAGCACGGGAGACATCATAGGCTGTGGATGTAACAGCAACGGTCAGCTGGGCATTGGGCATACCAGGAATGCTTTGAGCATGGAGACGCTTCCTCTGGATGTTGAGAAAGGCATGCTCAAAGCGGGGGCATTTCACTCATTCTTTATTTGTTTTGACACGATCAGCTCACACGGAACATCATTCAATTCATCGCTTTGCACCTGCTCTTAATGTTCACAACTGTGACAACTTTGTCGCTCTCAAATCAAGATTACCATCTTATGCTTGCTCGAGACCAAAATTCCAGAGCCTGCAATACATCTGTCAGCATATGTTGACCTGCGACAAGAAGGCATACTCTTTGTTTGCAAAGACATTCTCGATGTTTTTCAGGACATCGTCATCCTCTAATTCTTTGTCGAGCTTCTGCTTGTCATCGTCTGAGATTTCGATCAGTCTCCCTCATATTCTGTTCAGTCGCTTCCCTTACCACTCACAATCGATTCCAAGACATCAGAGAACGAATTGAATGCTGCATAGAAGTCTTCAAATAGAAAGGATTTTTCTGTGATCTCTCTGCATGTAGCACCCTTTGTATGGAGCTCCTTAAGGACACTATCTCCATTTTGGAGCAACACGTGACTGGCACGTTTCAAACTCATTCGGACGCTTCTCGACGGAGCTTGAATTCGATTAATTCGTTGCTCAATCAGAAGCAAGTCTCCTTCAAGGGATGATAATTCAATGACTTGCTCAGCAGCATTGCCCTGTATGACAAATAACGTCATCATCTGTTGGATTGGTTCTTCTCTTACCTTCATCTTGGCTACCATAGATTCAAAGTACTTTGTACATAATTCGTAAGTCTGCTCCAGATGGACAGCAAACTCAGAGTTTGTTTTTCTCCCATTTGCGGCATTACATCTCATTGCATCAAGGTAGGATTGCATGCAATGTAAAAATTTCAAGCGTTTCCTGTATAAATTTCCTAAGTTTAAATATCCCAACACTTTGTCTGGTTCAATGATTGTTGCTGTTCGGTATATGTGTTTCGCTAGTTTGTAGTTGCGTATCTTGTCACTTTCATGCAAGTTTCCTGTATAGCAGAGAAACGCATATAGCAGTGAGGTAGACAGGTCGCCTTGACATGTCGGAAATGAATGATGCTTGTCTTGCTGCTTTGAAAGGTTCAGGCCTAACATTTCGAGGGCCATTAACGCATCAGTAGCAGCCTGTCTCAGGTTTCCAACCCTTTCATGGGCCAAAGTTCGTTTCATCAAACAAAGAATCTTCAAGTAATCATTGCATTCACTCATCATCAGTATTTTGTCTAGGCTCTTAATCACTTTGGCGCAAAGATCTTGTTCAAAGCCATACACAATAATTTGTATCTGCTTCTTGAATTTCTGCAAGGAATGATGTGTCATCTGGACCGAAAATGCAGAGTTTTGCAGATATCTGAGAAGATATTGATCTATGATCCGGAATTCTTCAAATTCTGCGCTTGGATGGAGCAGAGTGGTCTCTTCTATGTCAGGGGTCATGCGAAGCACATGCAGAAAGGTAGCGACGGGTTTCACGAAATAAGACTTGAGCTTGAGAGCAGTCACGATGAGTTCCTTCCTGCTACCAGGCTGTCCTGATGGATCTTGAAAACTCCCGAGCAACTCAATGGCTGACTGCACCTCAAATTCTTCAAGATAAGACAAGATCAGTCCCATCCTTGCTTGCTGTTTCATAGGATCTAGTTTCAAAGCTGTCTTGAAATCTTTTCGCATTTCACTCGTCAGTTTTGTCTTTGCTTCTGCATCGTCTTGCAATAAAGTTATCAGTTTTCGTTTGCTCAAACCTCGCAATGTAAAGATGAATGAATTCGATAAGCTTTTAGTGTTTATCAATTGGTCGAGCCGGTTGTTCACACTTGATGCCTCTTGTCTCGAGATTACTTGTCGCAACTTAATCATAATGATGTTGCACTCAGCCACATATAAGTTTGATTTGTCTCTCAGTGCCTTTCCGAATGCTTCCAGAGCTTCTGACTCTCTACCAACACAGTCCAGCGCAACTCCCAGGTTATTGTAAGCTTCCGGCATATCTTTGTTGATTCTTATCACATTCTGAAAATATTGAATGGCGGTTTCAAACTTTTTCTCCTGCATGAAATGTTTTCCAAGCAGAATATTGGGCTGAAGCAAATTTCGGTCTAGTAGCATTGAAACCTCCAGAACATTTTTGGAAAACTCGTTCAAAGTGCTGGGGGAATCGGAAAGGGCTGAACGCTTGATTTCAATCGAGCCAAGTCTGTAGAAAACCTTTGACTTCATTCTATTGGCACTTGAGTTTCCATTCCAAGGCAATAACATAGCAAGCGAGAGCTCTGGGATGTACTGGAGCAGAGTATGGTGATAGCGCTGAAACTCATCTGAGTAGGAATCTTTGAGAAGAGAAGAAGGAGAGACAAGTCTCAAAGAGTTCAAGTAGGATCTGATCGAAGATTCAAAGTCTCCATCTTCTTCTTGTAACCTTGCCAAATGATATTGAAGCTTCTCATCTTTACTATGTTTGAGAGAAAGCTCTTTCATCAAGTGAATTGGTGTCCTGTACATCGAGCCGGTATCGGAGGTGTATGACAATCGATGATGAGTCCTGAATATCGTATCTCTAGATTCCTGGTCTTGGCAGATGAAATGCACTTCATGTGAATCTCCTGAGACTTTGAAGCGCATCTTGAAAGGGTAATGATCTTGTTGAGATAGTTCCCTCTCAAACACGCAATACTTGGATTTGATGCCCCCGTAGATTATTCTTCTATGTTCTGAAATGCAGTAAGTTCCATCTAAACTTGCAATAATGTCCACTTGTCGTGCGTTTTCATTCTTTGTTTCATGGTTCACTACACTTTTGTTCCATCGAACATTGAACTTTCTCAGTCCACTTGCAGCATCTTGTTGGATTTCTTGTGACATCTTCAGAACATATTCCATGACGTAATCGGGATCGATTCCATCAATGCGATTTTTCTCAATCTTAATGAGCTGCTCTTTGAACTCTTCCTCAGTTGGAATACCCAATGCGTTACAAACAGCCTTCAATTTGATCCGAGCCTTCACGTAGAGGGGGTGACCACTTTCTATGCAAGCAAAATCATCGATTGCCATGCGTAGCTGGACATGGTGTGGTTCATCGGAAGCTGTGGGTGCGTCCAAGTGAGTGACTTTGATCAACGAACCTCTCTCGTAATGTGCTTCTGCATCCTTCGGTCTCATCGCAATGATTTTACTTAGGTCTTTGATTGCCCATGTCTCTTGATCACAAATTGTGCACAACTTCGCCCGATGCCTTAGAATTCGAATGTATTCCTCCGTCTTGTCACGCTTCCCCAGAATCTCAACGAGGGAGGAATAGGTTTCTATTGATGATTCTATCTGACCACAAGCTTCATAAACAGCAGCAAGGCTCTGAAGAAAATCGGAATCATTCTTCTTTTCTGAATGTATCATCTCGAAATCCTTCTTTGCTTCCGAGAACTTTTCCAATTTCTGATAACAGCATCCTCGAAAATAGCGCAAGGAGCTCAAGTCCAATGAATTATTGCCAGTGCCTTCCCCAGGAAGTTTCAAGCAATGAGAATAATCCTCAAGTGCTTCTTGAAACATTCCCTGCAGGAAATACAAGTTCGCTCTCAGTGAGCGCGTAAGCAGATCTGTAGGGTGAGATTTCACGACTTGAGAATACTGCTGTATTGCACCTTTGTATTCAACTGTATGTTGCATTAACAACCCTGCCAGGGCCAATCTGACTTCTCTTTCGTTCTCTTTTAACTCATCCGCGCCCTTCAAACTCTGCTTGAGGCTCTTTATGGCTTCCGCAGCCTTTGATGGCTGCTTAGAATAAATGAGTCCGAGGTAGGCGTGAGATCGAGAGACAAAGTCGTCATGGCCTAGAGAGATAGTGAATGACATCTCCGCCTGTTCGTGCTGTCCAACACAAAAGGACACAAACCCCAAATTGAAATGATACTTCTGAAGACTTCTGTTCAATGAAGCCTTGGCATAGTCATTTCTAGACGACGTTGTCTGCACAAGTATGTTTGCAAAGTCTATGCACGACTTAAGATCCATCATGGCATCGGAATAATTTCCCTTGTGTAGAAATAGACGAAATCGTTTAAAGAAAGCTTTTCGCTTGACATTGATAGAATTTTTCCTGGTCGAGAGATTCAACAGTTCAAGTGCCATGGAATACTCGCCGAAGGCTTCGAAAGTCATCTTTAAATTCTTCTCCAGCCATCGCCCCCTCCGTAGATGAAAAATAGCTCTCAGCTCATTATCCAAATAATCGTTCGTGGGTGAGATTTTCAGAACTTGATTATCCATGCTTTTGCAATATTCTTGGTATTTATCAAAATGAAATTCAACATGTTGTATCGATGTGTTGGCAGTGCTTTCGCAGTGCATCATGTGTTCCAGAATGTTCAATGCGCCTGCAAACTGACCCTCAACAATAAGATCGAGGACTGCGATCCATATAAGTTCGGCGTTGTCTGCTTGTACGGACTGATTGTAAACTAGATCTAGAATTCGATCCATGTACATAGAGTCGTCTTTCAATTTCACGATTTCGGAATCATCTCTTAAATCATGTTCTAGCAGTATGGGTTTTAGCGTGTAGTGATAGCAGTACGTTTTCCCATCTGTGAGCTTATGAAGGTTGTTCAACAAATCTTTCGCAGCGTCGAGATTGTTATCAAACATCTGAAACATCAGAGTCAGGTAGCTAGGATCAAAAAGTTGCGTGTTGCGTGCAATGATTTGTGTCAGCTCGTTCTTCTGTTCATTTGTTTTGCCTTTGAGTCTCAAGCAGATCGCTCTTCCCACTCTTGCTGACATTCCAAGGATTTCGCTGTCCATCATTTGAAAGTCTGCATATTTCTCATGGACATCCAGCGACGAGGAAGAGAGTATAGATTCGTAATGAGTCTGAGCTTTCTCTATCTCTAGCTTTCTCAAGTGTATGTGCGCGATACCAAGCAGTCGACTGAATTCGAGGTTACCAATGCAATGACTTCCACTCGCTTGCTCCAAATCGCCGTATGCAGCTTTTAACTTTCCATATCGAATGAGTAGATGGCCCCTGAAGACTCTCCATTGCGTGAATTCTTCATTGATTTCTTTCAAGAAAGTGTCAATCAAGTTTTCCTCTTGCACAAACGATTCAAATGATTCTCCATGCTGTTTCGACTGGTTAGTGTTCCCGCAGGAAAGTAAAGATGAGAAATACTGTATCTTCAATTTGTTCATGTCTGTTTCTTGAGGATTGGATGTCAACCACTTTAGGTATGGAAGCTGAAACCAACACCTCGACTTGTAGTCAAACCAATCACAGTGCTGCGAGTCGGCTACGTAACGGAAATAGAAATGATCGTCGATATCTGGATGCCGCAGCAAGCTCTCGAACAAGGTGAAGTCGCCCAAGTATTTCATGATAAAGGCAATGTACAGCCGCAGTCGCAGATCAAGGAATCCTTCCTTGACAAGCTCCGAATAGACTAATTGTGCTCGCCTGAGGGCACCAGCAGAAAACGGAAGGTCATCTGTATCTTCTGAATCGAGGTTCGGGAGATCAGGTGAAGCTTTTCGTTTCCTGGAAGCAATCTTGATCCACAGGTCATTCTTCACATTCGCTGATGCAGAGCTGCTTGTTCTTGCGAATAGATTGGAACTTGATGTTCTTGAGAACAAGTCCCCCGTCAACCCTTCAAGAACCTGTAGTCCGGATTCAAGTTTTCCTTGCATTATGTTCGCGTCTGACAGGGCCAACAAGACGGCTGATGAGTTTAGCATCCTCCTTGACAGATCTTGTAGGATCCCATGCGCTCGAGCTACCCCTGCATCGCCAAACTCGACCCTGCCTCGCTTTTGAGACAGCAAACGGATTGCTGTCTCCAGCTCTCGTTCAGCTTCACTCATGCTGGCTTGTCCTGCTCCTCGCCAGCATGACTTGTGACGACCTGCATCTCGTCCTCTCCTCCTCTCAGCTTGTCAGCCAGTGCAGCTGCATGTGGGATGCTCGACTGACGGACTGGGCCGTTGCTACGGGTCGAGCATTTCGAGGACAGAAGTAAAGCGAGCCCGCCTCCTCCTTCGCCCCGACTGGCAGACGAGCATGTGGCATGGCCAGGCGGAGCAAGGGAAGAAGAAGGCTTGACGATCACTGAGAGAACCTCAGCCAGACATTTGTTTCTTGTCTCCTTGAATACCTTGACATGCCTTCGAGTGATAGTGACGATGCCTCAGAGAAGGGTGCAATCTTGAAGCAGAGGCTGCAAATGTTCAAGGCAAAGCGACCGAAGAAACTTGTTGAACAGAAGCTGGTATGCCAGATACTTCTCGAGCAAGATTACGTTGACTATATTGGGCTTGAAGATGCCTTTCATGCACGGGGTTGGGAGGTGATCAGAACAGGTTTGCAAATGTGTCGGACAGAACAAGAGGAGGATTTCTTAATCCCAAATGTCCAGTGGTGCAGCTATACGAAGGCTGCATGGGAAGCAGTGATGACGGGTCAGTTGATCACAAACCACTACTTCATGAGAAGTGGTATCATCAGAAAGGCAGACCTTGCGCAACTGATTCAAGAAAAGTATCAAGATACAATGCCGGAATCTTATGTATGGAGCCTTGCATCTCAAAGGCACCTAGATGAATTTATCCGGCTCGTCCATAAGCTGGTTCAAGATGATGGAATCTGGATTTTAAAGCCAGGTAGATATCGAATCAAATATCATGGCAGAACCTTTTGAAAACACTATGAACATAGGTGATTCAAGTAATGCAAATGAAATGCATGTTTTCAATCGATCCTGTGTCGGAAAGGTTCATATCAGACTATTTCTAACAATATTGGATAGATTGTGAATCGGATCACAGATTGAGAAAGTATTGATGTCCAGCAGTCGGAATTCTTGGAAAGTCCAGGTGTCTGCCCGTTCAAGTTTTCCACTGTCGATGAAATTCTTGTGTAGAAATATATCGAACGGCCTTTACTGATAAATGGATTCAAATTTCATCTGAGGTGAACATCGCGAAGATTTCACGTGTCAATCAATTCTTGCAAATTTGACTCAACTCGCAGAGCTTGGGTTCTTGCTGTCGGAAACCTCAAAGTATACTTGCACGAGAAGGAACCACATTACCTGTGAAGAAACCTCGTCACATGCAAGCGCAGGTGATCGCCCTCATGGCTTCAAAACCATACGCTGTGAATGATCTCGACGATCTTTGTATTCATGCCAGCAATCATAGTGTTCAGGTATTTATGATTTCATTTAGAGTTGATCGCTCACTTTTGTGGCAGGAGAGAGCTGGAGTACAAGGTCCTTGTTCGCATCTACTGCATGACCTTGAAAAACATGTCGACTCTACTCCCGATATCCGAGAGTCCAGTGCAGGTGTTGTTTCTCTCGCACAATTCTTGTCCTGTCCTGTCAAAGCAACTGATTTCAAGTCTTGCAAGAGATCGGATCTGCGATGGAGGTGAAGATTGGTGGTGTATGGTCAACCAAGATATGGCATCAGGCACCTTGATCTCAACTGTTGTGCGACTGCTGATGCCGATGAAAGATGAGCAAGATGGTGTGGAAGATCTTCAACTCTGCTTCAGATCCCAACCTCTTGTCACGAGTGTTCAAGCCTCTTCCTTGCTCTTTCGAGGTCTTTCCAGGAACGTGTGATGTGCAGTTTTTAATAGCAAGGGAAGCTTTTCGGGCTAGACGCCATGGTGGACGAGGACGGCAAAGTTTGGCTCCTTGAAATCAATTGTGATCCGGTAAGTGATCGCTCGGAGAATAGCATGCAGTGACATGCTTGCCACAGGACTTGAAGGTATTCGATACAAGGTGGCAGGACGTGGCTCGAGAAATCCTTCATGACACCATCGACACGGCAGTGTATCCGATCATGGGGAAGAGTCAAGAGGTCAAACCTTTACCGATGGTGTCAAACTGACTTTTACTTACTGGCGGGTATACAGAGAGTGACAGGTTATCATCTGATATTTGACATTGATGACAAGAATAAGCATGCAGACAATTCACATGAATTGCAATCTTTCGCAGACTAAAGTTCAAAGAATGCTCGCTGTGAACATGCTGAAATTAAACATCCAACATTTTTTGATAATTTCGTGTGCTATTCTGATCCTACGTCCAGTCGAGAGAGAACATCTTCAACGGATCTGTGAAGCAAAGTTAGGGCACACAAAACACAAACGTTGAGCATGTATCGTCACTTTTCAAGCTTGAGAATTGTTCTCCATTGATCTAGGTGCAAAGAAATCCCTGTCGAGAAAGAATCACAATGCAATTGTAGCTGTGATGAACTATCTGCCTTTCTTGCCCGGAAGCATTTGTCCATCTTTGGCATAAAATTCTCTGATGGAAACATAAGTCTGATCCCGATACTTGCTCACTGTGAGCCTTCTCTGTGTAATTTCTTCTCTCGCTCCTGATTTGTACTGTTTTGGTGCTTCGAGCTGTCACACTCCGTATCAAGAAGCAAGATCAAACAAGCAATAGCAAACCTCAAAGTAATATTCCCCATTGGAAGTCTGCATGCAGGTTGGCAACTGAGAATCTGTAGCTGCATTCTTTGCAGCTTCGTCAGTTTCCAACCTCCTTTTCTTGCTTGTTGTTTCCGTCTCATTGACAGCAGCATCTGTCGGATTCGAAGCATTGACATCGACGGCAGGAGTGCTGCGATTGTCCTCTGACGCCTGTGGGTCCTTCTGTTCATTCCTCACGCTCAAGTCTTCAGCTTGGGTTTGGTCCTCTCCTCCCCTCAATCGCAGGAGGTAAGGGAGAAACTCAACGTCGCGGAGGAGCTTGCAGTGAAGTGGAAGGGGACGAGATTCTGCTATTTGCAAGAAAGCTGAATGCAGGACATAAATGCTGATCATGGCGGACCGGAACCTCCCCGCCACCTTCCCCCGCATTTTGAACCTAGCAAGGTCTTGTCGGGCGCAATTACTATGATATAAATAGTGGACGGGGCGTTGGGCGGGATTTGATAAGAGGGAAATATGGCTTGAGCTCGCAACAAGGGCATCACATGTTGCATACTTTGAGTATCCTGCGAGAGCAGCCGGTTCTGTCGTTTGTTGTATGGATGATTTCTCAGTATGATATGGTGGATGCCCTAGACCAAAACTCTACATAGAACACAAGTTCGAGTATACATGGACAGCTTAGAGGTGAGTCAATAGTAATCGCGAGCAAGGATTGACGATGTATCTTTGACGTTCTCGCTTACCGTTTGAAGCACAGAAGAAGCTTCTGCCAGCATGGACCTTCTTTTGCCAATCTGCATGTAAGCCCCATGCACAAGATATTAAGTTGTGCTTGCTCTTCTCGCACACCATTACTTCTTCTCTTCGTGATCAATTCAACTGTACACTCTTTTGTGCACAAAATTTATCCTCAACTATGTGGACATTTCCATACAGGTTCAGTACTTCGTGCCATCGAAGTGAAATTAATATGCCCCAAAAGCAGATGAGAAGTGTGTTACAGAGAGAAGATCAATATTTAGTCATGAATAGGAGCCAACTCAAACCATTCAAACTCACAACAAAAATTGGAAAACAACAAACAAAAGTCATCCCATTCATTTTTCACGCTCTAAACCGCAGAGGAAAAGAGCATTTTTTCTTAGTAGGCAAACACTCTATAAAATCAAACACCATCAACTCCAAGGAAAGATCCACCCCCCAAGCAAAATTGTGAGGAAGATATTCTAATGTCCTTTGAAGGAGTCATTGAAAGCCGAGATGGCGTCAGAGTCCACGACGTTGCTGTTCTTGTTGAGATTGGAGACACCCATGGCCTTGTACGATGCTCCAGGAGTTTGATGATATGCACCTGTTGCATAGAATTGCGCAGAAAAAGCTGAGAAGGGGTGCTTGTGGGCATCCATCGCCTTCTCTGCCCTTTCAGGGTCCTTATCCCATGATTCTCCTTTCAATTTCGCTGCCAACGCGAACATGGCCGTTCAATCGCTATCTCCCAAATGCGGCACCTTAGGACTCCTAGCACACAAATATAAGGGGTTGGCCATAGTGTGTGTCCTAGAGAGATTTTTCCGAATAACGCTTTGTAACTGTTAGAACAAGTTTGCAACGGTCCGTAACGCTGTTTCACAAAACTCGCCTATAATTGGAGTCCGATCAGTCGACTCCAATTATGGAGGCATTTGGTAGTAACGTACACCCTTATCTCAACCCTCACCCCACCCCCATATACAACATGAAACTGATCATAGTACCGGTTACATTCACTTCAAAGTACCCCCTTAAGCCTTTGTCCCCTGCTACTGGGGGGCGGCCGCCGTGACATCCCCAGTACGGTAGGTGACCAGGGCTCGCAGAAGACCCGATATAATCACACGCCGTTGAAGCGCCCTCCCATCCTCATACTCCCTCCCTCCCCTCCTCCCTCCTCTACCTCCTTCGGTGACCGTCTAAGCTTCAAGTAGGGGCCCCGGCTTACTCTACGGCGCTCCCACACCTGTCCCATCGATTCCGAGTTGCCCCCTCAGTCCCCCCCCCCCCCCCCCCGCCGAACTCAAGATCAGGAAAACCTAAGGCAAAACGTGAGCAAACATGGCACAATCTTTGACAGTCAGATCAGAAGTTGCAATGGTCATGATCCTTCTTCATTTCCTTCTGGGTGTATGTCAACCAGCAGACCGGACGCTTGGGTTAACAAAGCAGCGGAGATTAGGAAACCTCATTTTCAACGGTGAGATTGTTATTCACAACTTCAACACTTTGTTGAATCTGTTGAGCAGGTAGCTTGGAACGCAAGAAGATCGCACGAGTGACTAGACTCAGAGACAGCGGAGAGAGTTACGAATCCAACGACTCATCGCATGTTTCCAGTGACAGTGATCATGGCGACCATTCTTCCTCTCCTCCCGCACCTGCTCCAGCTCCTCCTTCACCTGCTCCAGCTCCTCCAGCTCCAGCTCCAGCTCCTACCTCACCCTCTTACTCGCCTTCCTCTCCCACATCTTCCGCTTCGACTGGCTCTCCAGCAACTCAATCCAACTCTCCGAGCCCATCAACTACCTCGTCCAGTTCAAGTCAAACATCCAGTACTCCGTTGCAACCGAAAAAAGTCTCAGCTGATGTGCTCGAGTTTGCGGTGCTCATGCAGATTCCACCCCAGAACTTTGGTGCAGCAAAGAGGATGAGCTTCAAACAGGCTGTTGCCTTGTCAACTGGCACCTCAGTGTCTGACGTGAATATCACCTCTGTACGTGCCATGTTGGCAAGACGCAGCAGCACATCTAGCTTGGTAGATTTCTCGATTCAATTTCAAAATTCTTCTCTCCAACAGGAGATTGCAACGAATTTCCCCTTGAAGAAGCTCAATGAAGAGCTGATTCTGCAGAATCTTCCATCAGTTTCGAACCCAAACTCATCTTCATCGCCTTTCACAATTACAACACCAATATTGGTATTTCTAAAGCGCTGCGAATATCCAAGGACTGATATGTTGCCAGATTGGCATTATTGCCGGTGGAGTAGTCTTGCTCGGCTTTATGATTTGTGTTATTTGCATGCTCTCGCGCAAGAAGGTGAGAAAAATACTGATCGCATGTAAGATTTCGTCTGATTACCTTCGGCAGCGGAAGTCAAACGATGATGTGCACATCTCGAGTAACGGCCATGCCTCTTGTAAGATCAAAATGACTTTAAAACACCGTCTTACACTGCTGCAGTGGTGACTTTGGATTCGAAATTCCCTCAACCGACAGCACCTCCTCCTCCTCCGCCTGTGTTCCAGCGATATGGACAACCGCAAATTCCTCTCGCAACTGTTTGCCCATGAGGAACTCCATGTAGTATGTCTAGTCTATTTTTCTTAATGAAATTCCTTTTGTTATCCAAAAGTTGTCACATATTTTTATCTTGCTCGTCACTTTTGTACGTACACAAACTATACTCTGGAACCTATACTCTGGAACAAACTAGTGCACTGTATGAATTCCTGCGCGGTACTGTTGTCTCCTTCGAGTCTCAAGTAACACTATACTTTATTTACAACTTCGGGGAGGAGAATTTATTTCAAACTGAATCAAAGAGGGTTGCTATCCAAAGAGCTTACCATTGGCCGTTCTAGCTCTACTACTACTACTACTACTACTACTGCTACTACTACTTACAAGTTCGTGATGATCGAAATATGTGCGGAGCGGGGCCCGCCAGGCCGACCGGCTCAGAGTGACCGGCGGCGGGACCGTACAATGAGCCGGGATTAAAAATACAGGCTTATCCGACTACCAGAGCACGTTCCAAACATGCCTAGTAATAATGTTTCTGTTTGCCATCTTGCACGAAGCAGAGATGAGAATCATTTGATGGTAGTGGGGGGGGAGGTGGAATGTCTTCTTCCTCTTCGATGCTATCGACGGTGGATTCATTGCTGAGTGGCATTGGCGGAGCCGTAGGTGGAGGGTCGGGTGTACCTGCGTACCTGTGAGGAGACGAACAAGAAATACATAGCTATAGATCGTACCTAAGTACGTGAAAGTGTCTCTACGTGCCTTGAATCCCAATCATCAGAATTTTTCACAAAAACGAAAACGAGACAAGACAAACCTTCGTGCATCTTTGCATTTTCCTGGTGATCAAACAAAACAAAATCAGGGAGAATCCTCCCCCAATGCAGCATCCGATCTGTCAAAAAGAGTCAGATAGGCAACATTGTATAAATTCTGAATAACCAGCAAGTAAGTATCTGAGGACCCGTTCGAGGTCGAGCTCTTGGAAACGACGGCAACTGACGAGGACTGAGGTAAACCACCACGGGCTAGCTCTTGGTTCAGTGAAGCGATTGTCATGTCCTTTGTTATCCGTGTGACTGCATTCGGTTCTGACACTTTGATAGTGCATTCAATGGTAAGTGAATTTGTTGCCAGCAGCTTTCTAGACCCTCGTCGATTCGAGATCACATTTGTAATCGAAACCTGCGATGGTTGAACTTTAGCAGTCCGAGCAACTGCATCCATGAATGCTCTCCTTTCTTGAGCTCCAAATTGTTGGGCAGACATCGGCAGCGTCACTTCCAGCTTTACATCATACAAGTAAACTTGATTCTGTTGCATCACTGGCGTGGTGGAAATGAGATTTGAAGGTGCTTGAGTTTGCTTCTTCCCTGCGCCATCTGTCAAGCCTCCTATCAGAAACTATCGAACAATTAAGAAACGAGTGCACCTGGGCTTGATGTGCTGCCTGGTAATTTATTGTTATCACCTCCCATGGGCTGGCTTGACCCTACAGAAGTAGAGGAATCGATCCCGTCTTGCTTGTCTCCGTTATCCGGCACTGAATCTGACAAAGGATCGTCAAAGATTCAACTTCTCTGTGGTTAATCCGCACTTCTTCACCACACACCTGTTGTTGGTTCTTGCGAGGATGGTGACGGTGTACTGGTACCGACCTCATCTAGCTTTCCTCGAGTGCTTTCAGCCTGAATCGAAGCTGTGTGTTGTAGCATTGGGGAAGTGCTTGACGTCATCTGAGAAGTGGTTGATCTCCCTTCAGCTGGTTTAGACGACTGAACAACATTGTTTTGTTGCTCATGGTTCGTGTCAGCATTATCCGATTCTAAAACAACTCTGTCAAACAACGCCGAAACAGGTACTTTAAAAACCTTGGGGAAGAGGGGTCGTGGCAACAGCGGTATCAGCAGGGGAAGTACTGTATGTAGACTCTGCCTCTGACGCCTCGTCTTCCTCTGACTCCTCGGAGTCTGAATTTGCACCAACGGTGAGATTTTGCATCAAACGATCAAGACGGCTCAGGCGTTCTTACCGGAGTCGCGGACTGAAAATGGAGGAGAAAAGTGTGATCTATGTGGCAAACGCAAGGTGAGAGAAGCCGAGGCCTGACCAACAAGGTAGGAGCTGTTCGTGATGGCAATCACGGCGAGGATGAGGATACTCAAGCGGCGTTGACGCCCTGCCTTAGCGCCCATCTGCATCCAGTCTTCCTGGCGGGGTGAACCACGCTGTGGTGGGGTCTACGACACCTGCAAACAGTAGGTAGGTATACCTCTCGATTGGTGGGGTCCGAATGTAGAGAAGTTGGGGGGTCATCGATGGGTAGGAAGCAGGGTACCTGTGACTGTCACTGATAGAGATAAAACATAATAATGTAATAGACTCTTTTTAAAATAAAACTCAGGTACAATTTCTAATAGCATTTAAAACTACAGACGGCATCTTGCAATCGTATCACTTGAAGGATTTGTGCTCTGGTGGTGAGAGGGACAAGTAAATCTACTGGCAGGTCTACACTACTATATGATAATATACATTCACAGTACGGAAACGGAACGACATTCTCTACTCACTACTTGAACCCGCAACATGATTGGGCTGGCGGGGACATCAGTGGCGGCCCAAGCCATCATAGTTACTTGGCCGCATCACTCTTAAGGAAAATAATTGGCGAAATACTCGTCTCTGTCTTCAGGATCATATTCTCCATGCAGAACAGTCAAGGGAGGGGCGCTGGGAGTAGGCAACTTTCCATCTGTGGGAATGACCACTGGAAAACCATGGCAACTCAAGTCAGTTTCTGATGAACTTTCGTTCACAGTAATTTGCCACTCACAAATTCCTGAGCCGAAGGTCTCGGGTCTCACTTCTCTTGCAAGAGTCTTTACCTGCAAAGTTACAATAAGAGCAAGGCCAGGAAACTCGCCCAAGATGAGAGGGAATAGCAATACAAGAAAAGCTCTACCCGATTCTTCCTCAGTCTTCTCCATAGACCCATTCCCATAATTCCAGCAAAGAGTATCCCTCCACCAATTCCGACGTACTGTTCTATATCAGAGTTCAAAATAGACATGTAAGGCGGCTCACCAAGTATGTGTTGTCGGATGCTCCTGTACTTGGCTTCACAATCTGTATCGAAGCCTGAGGCAATCCATTCTTGATGAGCTCCTTATTCAACGAGTCCACAGAAAAACTATTTTTGATGTCTGTCGCCTGCTGCGCATCCTTTGCTAAAATGCTGAAATGGACAAGAATCGATGCAGATAACAATCGGCGACGTGTTGTCAGGACGGTGATGCCAGTTATGATCACAGAGGAGATGGATGTGCCAGCCGATGCAGCGACGGCTTTTTTGAAGTTTGATTGAGCATCAGAATTGAAGTCGTTCAAAGTCAGCGGCAAAGAAACAGCTAGGTTCGCTACGTTCGAACTTGTGCTTTGTGTGCTTATTTGATTAGGACCTGGAGTTGAGGTTGTTGGCGAGGGAGCTGGCGTTGCTGGCGTTGGAGCTGGCGAAGCTGGAGTGGGTGCTGGCGAAGCTGGAGTGGGTGCTGGCGAAGCTGGAGTAGGTGCTGGCGAAGCTGGAGTAGGTGCTGGCGAAGCTGGAGTGGGTGCCGGTGAAGCTGGAGTGGGTGCTGGTGATGGAGCTGGTGATGGAGCTGGTGATGGAGCTGGTGAAGCTGGTACATCGTCATCATCCGACCCTCCTGTTCCTCCATGATCGTGATCTATGTCATCATCGTCATCGTCGTGATCATCGTCGTGATCATCGTCGTGATCATCGTCGTGATCATAGCTGTCCAACACTGCAAATGAACTTCTTCGCTTTAAAACGTTGCCTGTGTTCAAGTGCTTTAGATGTCTAGCAGGTGCTTGAGAGCACTCGATAAATGTTGATGACGTAAGGAGGAGGAGAAGGAGGAGGAGGAGGGAGGAGGAGGAGGGAAAGGCGCAGGCATTCCTCATCTTGAACGTCGCCATGATAAATTCACATATAAAATATTATAAATATATACTGATTGGTACAAAGGACCAAACATTGATGATATGTTGTACAACAGGGTATAAATATATTGGGAACAGGAAAAATATTTTAAAACTTTTTTAATAACTGTCTTGGTAGAAATATAGGTAGAAATTCTTTTGCGCAGCTTTATATTATTTGTTGCACATGCACAACTGCCTCCATTCTTGGAATCCTTGGAGGGGATTTGGGTAGGTGCATCCTAGAATGGAAGCAGTGCAGGCAAAAAAAAAACATCTTTAGAAGTGTACCATAGTTCCACTTTTGTTTTTCCATTGCTATGAATTTTGAGCACAGATTGTCCTCTATCAATGAATCTCCTGTAAATCTTAATCTCGGAACGGTTCTTCTCTTCTGGTCCTTATCAGTCCAAGTTGCCCTGGGCCGGCCGGGCCCGGCCGGAGGCCCGGCATGATCCTGAGGCAGGCTCACAGCAGAGCCAGGTCTCCGACTTGCAGTTGAAGAATGCGGATGGCGAGGGGAAGGACAGTAGAGCGGGGGAGGCTCTAGTCTTGATAGGAGCAGGAGATGCACATCGAGCTCCTTTGACTTGAAGGATCGTGTCATTCCAAGAAGATTGCCACTGAGGACCTCGAGGACTTGATCCTCATTAGTCCAAGGATGATGGAAATTAAGCCGGAGCAAGACGATGCAAATTTTGCCACGGAAGGTGAGCAGGGGGGTGATGCCCTTGAGAATGATACTGAAACCCACTTGTAGCTGAACTACAAGAGATTGAGAGACTCTTTTCCGAGTTCGTCGATGAAGCCACTGTGATGGTCGATAAACTGCCAAAGGAGCAGGCAGATTCGCTCATGAAGGAAGTTGTAGCTCACAACGATGGTCTTGCAGGAATGATCTATCAGCATGCTGTCTCCAACGCGACAAGTGCAACTCGCTTACCCGAAATGTCACAGATATCAAGCTCGGAGTTGAAGGAAGCAGAACGTCTGGTTTCCAACGCGTTTCATGAGGCTAACTCAATGTTGGATGGCTTGCCGCAAGCTCATGCACAAGTGATCTTGCAAGATCTCTGCGAAGGAAAAAGCGAGCTTGCCATCTTCCTGAGATCGCACATACTGAAGGACAAACGAGATTCTGTGCAAGAGTTTGATGATAACCTTGGCATTAGCAACAGCCAGAATCTACTCGATGAGCTTGAAGCAGCAAGCAGCAGCATGATGGAGAAGCTGCCTGAGAGCTATGCTCGTATTCTCGTGGAGGGGATCAAACATGGTCAAAGTCCCCTATGCCGCGCTGTTCGCCACCAGATCAATCAAAGATACATCGCAGGAAGACTGCAAGAGGATCCAGACAATGAAATCATAACTGACGGAGGTAAATCCTTCGATCTCATACTTGAACTTGATCTTCTGCTGTGATGACGGCCTGTCACATGTCTTCCTGTTGAACCTCTGACTCTCCAGTCTTCTCTTCTCTGACTTGTCTTTCTCCTTTTCCTTCAGATCTCTCCCTCGCTTCATTCCATCAGAGGCTCGACGAGATCTTCCTCCAGGCGAGAAAGGTCGCGAGGTCACTCCCCTCAGGGTTGATGTCGGTTGTGCATCAGATGAGCAGGAGCATCCAAGAGCTGCAGGAGGCAGTGCAGGGGCTCAAGATCTCGCTGTTGGAGAAGGAAAGAGAGGTCGAGAGCCTCCAGCAGCAGCTCAAGCATCTTCCTGTCATCCGCGTCATGGAGATTCTGCATGCAGATGGGACCAAGTGCTTGAAGGTTGTGACTTCACGAACCCATGTTAACTTGGAGAGCAGGAGTGCCGACTATCAATACAACTGTTTGTCGCTGCAGGATGAAGAGTTGTTGAAGATGAAGGTGCGAGGGAGGGCGAACGGCAAGGAGCTTATCTCACTTTCTCCTCCTCACTGTCCCGCACATCCTCACTTGATCTCTCTTTTGCCTCTCCTCCTCTCGCAGCGAGAAGCTGATGAATCACGACGAAAGGCCGAGGAAGCAGCTCAGGTATGTTGGGCCTGCTCGTCTGCTCGTCTGAGGTTTGGAGCAGGAGGTGGAGCGAGCAAGGAGAGAAGCAGCTGAGGAAGAGTTCCGGTGAGAGCTGACGGGGTCGCTCCTCCTGTGAGACTTTTGGCAGCTTTGAGGCAGCAAAAGCAGAGGTCATTCTCCTCCCCGCTCTCCCGCCCCTCCTTTCCTCTACATCTTCCTCCTCCCCTCCCTCCCCTCTGCTTCGTCCCGCGTTCCATCTCTCCTCTTCTGTTACTCAAAACGATCTTGAAGATCCGTCTGGAAGCTTTTCGAGCACAGCAGCGCAAGGAGGTAGGGCGAAGCTTGAGAGGGAGCGCGATCCCTTACCTTGCGCCAAGTCCCAGCAGGAGAGCATCAAGAAGGCAGACAAGAGAAGAGGGGCAGAGCCTGAGCTGATGGTCTTTCCCGTCCCTCTCTCATGTACCCAAGAGCTGACGACGAGGGCAGGAAGGATGGATCAAAGTGAAACGAGAAGGACCTCTTGGGGGATGGCAGGTTTCTCCTTCTCCTTTCCTGTTCCTCCTTCCTCCATCCTCTCTCCCCTGTCAAACATCCCTGTCGTGTGCGCTGCTATGTGAAGCAATGCGGCAGCGCAAGATGCTGGTGCTGCGATCAACTGGCCTCCTCCTCTTCAACGACGAGAAGTAGCTCGGATCGCTCCTCGGCTTCTCTTCTGATCTTCTCTTCCAGTCGGAGTGGAGGATGTTCCAACGCATTCGGCCTCGAGATAGTAAGCAGGTAAATCCCCGCAATCCTCGTCCTCGTTCTCGTGGCCCTGAAGTTGATCTGCTAGCATCGCAAGGAAGAAAGGCACCTGTGTGGAGGTGAAGTTTCAAGGTAGGGGTTCTGATTGGTGGGAGAAGAGTTCGTGTTCGAGGCAACCGCGAACAACCCCAGACGTCACTTCGTCTCCATTCTGTCCTCCCCTTTCTCTCCCCCTCTCTTCCCCCCCCCATCTACATCCTCGTCCTCGTCCTTTTTCGTGCTCAACTCTCGGCTCGGAGCACATTCTTATCGCTCTCATCCCCTCCTCAGATTCGAGCTCGTGCGAGTGGGACCTCGGCTCCTCTCAGGTAGCTCATGCTTATCCTGTAGCAGATGCTGATCGAGAGACTTCAGTCGGTCGACAAGTGGATCGCAGCCATTGAGACAGCGTTGATAAGATGCCGCAGGTTGCCCTGCTCCGTTTCCCCTTTCTCCACAGCCTCCTCCTCCTCCTGATCCTCCTCCTGATCCTCCTCCTCCTCCTCCTCCTCCACCATCATCATCATCATTATCGTCACGTCTTCGTCCTCTTGCTCCTTCCTCGCCTTATCTTCCTCTCTCTTTCGCCTTTGCCTCAGCTGTCCTCTGACTCTTTGCTTCAAGAATGACGCTCGACATTCGGCCACGGGAGATTACGGAAGAGGAAGAGGAACAAGATTAGGCGCTCTTGCCGTGACGATCTGCGGCAGGTGCTCAAGAGCTCGTGGGACAGCGCGCAGGAGGAGAAGATGAGGTTGGAGATCGAGCGAAGGAGGAAGCGAGTCGCTGAGGCTCAGCAAAGGTTGAAGAGATGGGTGGGATGCAGATGATGGCGGGTTGATTGGTGTGAGTGGGATGTTGGGGGTTGAGGACAAAGAGCTCTGTGTGTGTGTGTGTGTGTGTGTGTGTGTGTATCGAAGTTCCACCAGGAGCGAGGAGGCAGTTCGAGCTCTCGATCGGGCGAGGAAAGAACACATTGTTCTTGACGAAGAGCTGCGGAGAAGAAGAAAGTAAGAACCTCGAACAAAACTGCTGCTGCTACACCTTCTCCTTCCAATCCGCCCCCTTCTGTTCCTCATCATCTTCCTCCTCAGCACCCCCCACACTTTCGTACTTGCTCCTCGAACTCTCATCAAACTTTTCAGGTTCCCCGACCTACCTGATGCTTTCCTCGACACTCTTCCTTTTCCCCAGTCTCGCGATGGCATCAGAACAGAAATTGTCGGAGAATCTGTAAGGGAGGATGTGCACAAGGTGGGGCAATAACGGAAAGAGAAGTAGGGGGCGGGGGACTTGGGCATGCGGATTGATGGTGGTGGTGGTGATGCTGCTGCTGCTGCTGCTGCTGATGATGATGATCATGATCATGATCATGAGGAGGAGGAGGAGGAGGAGGAGGAGGAGGAGGAGGAGGAGGAGGAGGAGGAGGAGGAGGAGAGGGCAGCGGATGTTCTGATTTGCAGCACAAGATTGCAGAAGAGAGCCGAAAGAAAGCGATCGAGGAGGAGAGACAGAAGGCCGACAAGATGCGAGCAGAGCTGGAGGAGAAGGTTGAGGCGAGGAGGCGAGGAGACCCGACTGAAAGGATCGATGGTGCAGGTCAAGGAAGCTGAAAGGAAGTGGAGGGAGTCGGAGGACCAGCTCAAGGTCCTGCAGACCTTGTCCAGGACGGTGAAGGAGGAGAAAAAGAAGGAGGAGACAGTTCCGCCCCCTGAGGTCTGAGCGCTCCTTCCTGTCCTGCTCGCTGACTGGTCGCCAAAGGTTCACTTGGATGAGGTGGAAGAGAGCGAAGGAAAGCGACAGGCGGAGCTGGATGCTTCTCTTTTCGACGGAAAGATGTGAGTGTCGAGGAAGGGGAGGGGAGGAAGGGGAGGGGAGGAAGGGGAGGGGAGGGAGGGGAGGGGAGGGGCGGTGGGGGGGAAGGAGCTGTTGGTTCACCTCAGCTCGCAGGTATGAGGATGGGATGATGGTCATGTCGTTGGAATGGACGAAGAAGACAGACTTGTCGCTCTCCGCCTCTCTGAGGACAGCGACGGATGTGCAGGTGAGCTGTAGGAGAGCAGAGGGAGGGGGGGCGGGAAGGGAATGGGGAGGAGATGGTGGGCGCGGGTGGGAAGGAGAGAGGAGGGAGGAAGGGGAAGAGAGCGGGAGAGGAGACGTGAGAGCGACTGGCAGGTGTTCTCGGAAGGGGAGCAGACGGCGATCTTTCAAGACGGCGAGATGAAGTTTTACAGCCAGACAGGAGAAGAGTCGGACGAGGTGAGCAGGTCGTCAAAAGTCTGACTGTAATCTAGAATCTTCATTACACTCACTCAAAAAAACTTGGTCTCCTATCAGAAATTTTATCCTCTACATGTTTGTCAGCCCTTCATTCCTCCTTCTTCTTCCCTCTAGAGCTCATGATGCTCCACACCACGACCACCAGGACGATCAAGACTCCCAGCACTCCTCCGCCCTGCATGAGAAGAGTCCTGCCGCCGCTGTCAGATAGGCTGCAGTCCTCCTCCTCCCTGACCACCTCCAACGTCTCCACCTTCCTCCATCACCACCATCTCCTCCGCCCGCCTCCCATCCTCCTCCTCTTCAACCATCTACACTATCTATATCTAGCCTTTTCTTCTTTGTTGATTTTCACCTTCATCTTCAATCCTCTTCCTCCTCCTCCTCCCTCCCTACTCATCCTCCAACTCACTTGTTCTCTTTGACGAACTCTTTCACCATGGTCTTGAAGTTCCTCGACATCTGGGTTGCATAGCACTCACTTTCAAAACATCCTGCACCAGCTCTCTCACCTTGATCTCTCCGCTCTTCACCTTCCCAAGGTACTCAGAGAATCCGTGATGCCCCTTGACATCGACGGGGACAGGCAGGAAGTGTTCCTTCTGCACGTCGATGATGAGGAGGCGAGGCAGCACCCTTGTGCTGATGCCGAACTTCACCACAAACTGCTCCCACTGCTTCCCGTTGAGGTACCCGAACCCGAAGTCATCCTCCAACTCTCGCGCGAGCCCCCGCACAGTCTGCAGGAACTCGATGTTGATGGGGATACTCTCAAACGAGTCGTCCTCCTCTCCTTCAGCTTGCCCTTCCTGGCCCGCGGGCCTCGCCTTCCCCCGCAGCACAGCGATCACAAGCGGCTTGTTCCTCTCCCCCAGGGCTCTGTAGTTGGATGCGTCCACCTTGGACAGCATCGGGAACCTGTCGAGAAGGAGGAGGAGAGGAGGAAGAGAGGAGGAGAGGAGGAAGGGAGGAGGAGAGGAGGAAGGGAGGAGGAGAAGTCATTCATCGTATGATCGCCCAGCACATCATCGCACGCCAACCTGTGCCCATCGATCCAGTGGCTGAGAGCCTCCGCCGTCCTGTTGATGGAGGAGGAGAGGCACCTGAGAGCAGACGTGAGCATGAAAATCAGCGCCCCCCCCCTCCCCTTCCCCTTCTTCGCTCTAACTCACTTCGCCTCTTTCTCTCTGAAGACAACGAGCTTTCCTCCGAGACCGACATCCTCCTGGCAATGAGGATGAGGACAGACAAGCAACATCCACTCATTCACCTGCACTGTCCGTCCGTCCAGCATGATTCGGAACTCCAAGTCATCTCCTGTGTACTCTGCAGAAGGGAAGAAACTCGTCATGCCACGTCAACAGATGTCATCTCATCCACCTGGTGCGACTGCGATGCTGGCGACATCCGACTGCATGGTGGCAGCCTTGAGGAACTCTTGCTTGAACATGGAGGCCTCCTCCCCCTCCTCCAACATCAGGGCGAGTGAAAGCCGTACTTCAACTCACTTCGACATTCTCAGGCTCGAACAGAATGAAAGAGGCGGTGTTCTTCTCGATGAATTCCTTGACCTCCTGCAATCAATTCACTCGATCAAACTCGTGAGCAGGATCCTTTCACGCGCGAACCTTGGCTGTGTTGAGCTTCACAGTCGCTGGACTTGAAAGCTTGCGGGCGTACTCAACGAGGGCATCTGCAGTCCTTCCTCCTTTGGGGGGGATTTCAACACTCAATGGACTGATATCCAGACTTCACCTCGGAACGGTTTCAAAACCTTGCCGTCGGAAGAGAGGACGCGAAGACTCGGGTAGCCGTCGACTTCGTACCTTCGCGTTCTTTCATCAGCACAGCAAGCATCCCAGCTAGCTACATACTTGTCACAGACTTTGGAGTGTCTGTCGCGCGTTGGAAACACAGCGAATGTCAGAGGTAGTCAAGACAAGCATCCAAAGGAGCCGGAAAAGGCCTCCCGCAACAAGGTACAACATGGAAAAAGAGACAAGCCGTAGTCAAAGTATCGATGAACGTACGAGGTGCAATCGACTTTGGCAAAGAAAACAGGTAAGTTCTCGCTCTCCTGAAGCCAATGATCACTTCGAGTCGAGGATCGGCATCTTGCCAACCGCAAGTGCAGCAGCTCTGTCCCACTCGGGTGCCAAACGTTTGCAGTGTCCGCACCAAGGAGCGAAGAGGTCGACGAGCCAGATTCCTTCTTTCTGCAGCAGAAGCATCACAGAGGGTGCAGTCATGTCATGCCGAAGAAGGGATCCAACGAAGGTCGCAACGAGGAGTGAGAAAAAGAGGTTGGCTGGGCAGGAGTGAGTGAGTGAGTGAGTGAGTGAGTGAGTGAGTGAGTGAGTGAGGGAGGGAGGGAGGGAGGGAGGGGAGTCGGACCGATGATAGTGTCGATTCGAAGTTGGTTGATGTCAACTCGATCGCGTTCGAAGACACGAGACACCAGCACGTGGAGACCAAGATAAGTTGCAGAGCTCGCCTCGCTGCTGGATCCCTGACAAGTCTCTTGTCACAGCAAGGTAAAGCCACCCAGGCACCAAAACTTCGTCATAATACGGGCTAATCCTCTAGATGCCAGGGCGACTATCGTGTCTACCCCTCCGCTGCTATCCCGTTCAACTCAGGGCTCATAAGTGCAAGCAGCTCAAAAGAGATGCGGCGGTCCCAGTCCTCATGACCAAGATGGAAAGCTTCATGTCCTGCCCTTTCTGTCCGAAGGATTCACCCCATCTTTCTCAGGTCCTTGCATCTAATAGTTCGACTTCTACATTTCACGAGCAACTACATCTTCCCACATGAATTCATCATCACCGACGCAATCTTCTGACATGTAAGCTTTTCGTTCCTCTCTGTCCGTGCTCCTGTTGCTACATCACCTTCGAAGCTAACCAGTACCGCTGCCCCTCTTTCCTGTACCCTACCTCCCTCCATCACTCGCTTCCTCGCTCTTGGCCTCCACATACAAGTCTGCTGCATGAAAAGACGGCATGAAAGCTCCCTCTGCCGTCCTCTCCTCCTCCTCCTCCTCCTCCCTGTCTCCTCCTTACCGCATGGCGCACGCGCTCTCCACCGTCAGGTAAACTGGGGTAAGAGCGGGGATGTGTCCCTTCTCGAATCTTCCCCCTCCGGTCATCCATCATTCCTTTTGATCCGGAGGCGGACCCGCCATGTCCTGGCAGTTGATGGGAGCGGGTAGTTGGGGTCAAGGGAGGGAGGGTGGAACATCGAGCTGGACGGGAGGCTCTAGAGCAAAGATGCTGAGAGGAGGCTGGAGTACAACCATTTGATCCTCCACCCCTCCCAGCCCCTTACTCTCCACCCCTGCCACACAACCCCTGGGATCCTATGGCAGAACCTACGAGATCTGCGGGAAGGGAGCCTGCAAAACTCATCCGTGGCCCAAAACCAAAGGAGAAGTTGCAAGGGAGCAGCATGTTGCAGAGCGACAAGGCTGGTAGAAGCATGCAGAGCTTGCGAAATGGAGGCAAAACTGATCGACCGGCGCTGCAAACCTTTCCTTTCACGGCGCCTGAAGATTCTGCCTTGAATGTTCCGGGATATCTATACGTTCTCAGCGAGGGCAAAGTAGAGAAGATCTGTCTTTTCGGCCTGAACTCGTCACCTTGCTCAGATTTGGAAGGCTCGATCGTTGTGGCCGATCCTCCAGCAGCGGATGTGAGGCTACGGAACAGGATGAAAGTGAGCAGCAACATCTGCGTTATCCTCAACAGTGATGGTTCAGAAGGCTCAACGTATGTCGGCGATCAGGTCAAGAATGGAATCAGTGCGGGCGCATCTGCAATCGTCCTGGTCTCCTGGAATGAGAAGTATTCGCCATCACTTGTATGAACCTGTGAGGCCTGTGACATTGCTTTTTTCTATGCAGATTTCTTTTTGCATCTTCCTTGCCGGAATACGACGTTCCTGTTGTGACAGTGAGAAGAAATGATTGGCCCGTGTTACAAAATGCACATGAGCACGGACGAGCTTTACTTGCGTTTCGAAAGATGGAAGAAACTTGGACTCAATATGACATGAAAACCAAAGAAATTCAAGAATGTTTGCAGGAGGTTGGTGTTACAGCTATCGACTTTGCTGATGTCAATGCGGCAGGTGACGAAATTGCTGGATACTTCGGGCAACAAAGCCCCAAGCATGAAGAAAATTCAAGAGATGATGATGAGAGGAAATGTACAGCTTCTACCTACAACTATGTTACATTCCTCAATTTGACTGCAGGCTCAGGTGTCAGTGGATGAGAATATCGCCTCAATGCTTCATGATGACTTACAAGATAAGATGGAACGAGTTCAAGCTGTTCTCAACAAATCAGCGAATGCTCTTGCAACAGCCGAGTACACCCTTCAACGATCTGTACTGGAGCTACGTGACAGAGCAGAGGCAGCAGAGGTAGATTAGTATTGGCTGCTCTGCACAAACGTACAAGGGCTCTTGAAGTAATAATGTCCGCAGGCGAAGTCATCCTTTCTCGAACAGGCAATCCATGGCTTGTCGGGTGGGTATGAGCTCACGCTACAAAATCGAATCAAGAAAGAGTATGAATTTCGAAACATGCATTTTGAAACATTCTATTCATTTTTTTCATATAGAATACAACGAGCTCAAGTGTTGGAGAAGAAGTTGAAGGATCAGGAGACTTTGTTTGACGAGGCTATCGAGAAGGTACTCTCAGTAAACATCAAGGCAAATGCTCTTACTGACCAGATTTGTAGGAGAGAGACAAAGTCAGAAACCTCACGCGAGATTTGTCATCGCAAAGATTTGAAACCATGGAGTAAGCCTGTTCGAGGGTAAGACCTCGGGGTGTGATTTTCAAACCGCTAGGTTCAAAAAACCTTGGATGTTGACAACTACGGTACGAAGCGCCAACACAACAAAGAGCGATTTCGGACTCGGTGAGCAACGGAGTTATGCTCTACGAAACCATATTTTTGCTTTGTATTCTTATAGTCATCAGAGTCAGGCACGCTGGAAGGCATCGCAGTTTCTTCGCTTGGTGATACAATTGAGCAATCTACGCTCCCAGCTGGAAGCCCAACTCAGTTTTAACAACTTTCGAAACTATGTCGTCATATGTCAGACATAGCTGATTGAGTTGCAGTCAAGTGGATAGAGTGACAGAAAAGATATTCAGTACTATCACTCCGAAAGTATCTGGAATACGAGGGGCACTTGCTATATGTACATTTAATGAATTGTATATGAACACGACATTCTAAGATACAGAAGAACATTCAATCTTGCAATAGCAGGTGAGCAGCATCTGTGAACAGAAGTCCGATCTTCGATCCTATCTTCTTCATACATCTATCATTCTTTTGCTCGATTATATCATTCGCCGCATATGAACCCTTGCAGTCAAAATCGCCACAATCAAGCCTGCACTTGCCATGACACCTGTCTTTCCATTCGGCTCGAGCAGCGATTAATGTAGGTGAAGAAGTTGCTGTGCTATTCGTAGTTGTGCAGGATTTCGTCTGGCTCAGCAGCCATTCTCCAGCTTCTTGCGGTCCTTTTGTACGCCTCAACTCGTCGTAGAAATATAAGTCTGTAATATGAATCATTCCACTGATTCTAGTGGCCAGCTTTGTTTCAGTCTCCCTCAATTCAATCAGATTGTCATTGCACATCAGTAATTCGTCGTTGTCGTAGGTTTACGTGCAGGGCAAAGGAGATGAACGAAACAAGGAATGTAGGAGATGAAACAAGAATGATCTGCTTGCCGAAGAAGGAAGAGCCAAGGTGAGGCCGGCAGATAAAAGGGGGAAGAGTCCACAGTACAATCAGAAAGGATACAGGGTAAAAGGATTCTGGTAAGGAGGTAGAGGAAGAAGGCAGAAGCAAGGGGGCAGAAGGCAGAGCGATTTGCTCTGTATTTGGCTGCGGAGGATCCCACCCCCTAACCCCCATGAAACTAGTGGAAAGGACCCCTGACATCCCCTGCAGCTCGGCCCCAGAAAGGAGGACCCCCCTTTTAATGATGTTTTCGAGGGTGGGGTAACTGACGATTGCTGACCATCACCAAAAGATGCGATCCTTGGGGAAGGCAAAGGGTGGGGTCGGAGAAGAGGATTGTACGGGTAAGTTGTGTGAAGGATAGAAAGGATGCGAAATGTGTAGTAAAGTATGACACTGATGACATAAATCTGGATCCTTGCACTGTGATCAAACTACGAAAGTGATATTTTTCAAAATTGAAATATCTCCCTTTCAAAAAAATATGCTTCCGGCTCGATTCGGTCCCCCGACTCACGGCAGACATATGGACGTGACGTCCTTTCCTCTGACCCCGTCTATGACCAACCCGTATCCATAGACATAGGATATTGAAATATCCACCCCCACCCCCCATGCCTAGGTCCACTGCGGACTGATCACGGGTATAACCAACCTACCCCTCGGAACTGTGGATGAGGATCGGGTTGTCATCGGTGGAATCCGTGAGCATCAGCGACGGCCCCCGCTGATACCTTCTTGGTCGCTGCCCGGGACACGTCAAATATGTCCCGGATCATCCCTTACTAATTATCCTTTGCTGTCCTTCTATTGCCTTTCGAGGATCGGATTGTTCACAGGCGGAGGGTCACCGACTCGTATTAGTAACGGTCGTAACCGTGTACTTTGCAATCATTTTCCAACCAAAAATCAACTTTCAAACTTCCAACTTTCCATTTTGTAACTTTACCCCACCCCTTCACCCCCCTTTCAAGGTTCCTTTCGTACCCCACCCCAGGACCCACCCCTCAAAACCCACAGCATCTACCCCCTTCATAACGAGGACTTGGTATCAAAAGTACCGGTACTATACTTTTCCTTGCGGCCCCCCGGCGCCGGGCCCGCCGGGAGCCAGGCTGGAGGCGGACAGTCCGAGTGACTCAGCTCGGGAGTCAGTCACGGACTGGGACTGGCAAGGCCTCACTGCCGGGGCCCGGCCTCAGTGTCGGACGGTCCCGGCTTCGCTGCCATCATGGCATGCCATCGCGGGTGCATTCCGACCGAAGTTCGGGCCGCCGTATGCAGGGCCCGTCACAGCGGCTCATTCCGTACTAAACGGCCCCCGTTCCTTCGGCGGCGGCCGCGCCGCACAGCGATCTTTCGACGCTGGCGGAAGTTGGTCACGCGGCCGCGGAAGGCTTCGTCGGAGTTCGGAACTCGGAATGCCGGGTCCTGTCCGGGCCGCTCAGGTTACTACGGCCCGGCCGGCGGTTAAGTGAAGTACTGAGCCAACCGGGACAACACGGTTGGCAGCCTGGGGCCGCTCGCCGATGGGTCAAGAATGATCAACTTGGCAAGTTTCAAGTTTAGTGAGTCGGTGACTCGGCCCGCCGGAACTTGCCGCAGTGCCGGGCAGGCTGGGCCGGCCCCGGGCCCCCGGGGCCGCCCCCCGGAGCAGCCCCCCGGGCCCTGCGGCGGAAGGCACTGAGTTCCCCGGCTGGACCGTCAGGGGGTGGGGGTGGGATCTCTACATGGGGGTGGTTGTCGGAGATAGGCAGGCTAGGTTTTTTATTATTCATAGGCGTATTCTGTACTTGGTATTATTACCCTGGTGATCCTCGTAAGTATGGAAGGGTGCGGTCAAAAAAATCAAGAAAGGGGGTGGGGGGTGGGCTGATTCTAGTATATGTATGGGTGGTGGGCGGTCAGAGGGTGGTGGGGTACTAGGGTTTTTCCTACAGGGGTGGAAAAGTCGGGCATTATTGTAAGGGCTTTTGGGTATGTAAATGCCCAAGGGTGGGTCCTATTGGGTGGGTCCTATTGGGTGGGTCCTATTGGGTGGGTTCTATTGGGTTCGGGATGGAGAGGCACAAAATTATGGGGGACATAGCGCTATGCCGGGGTTGATAAGCGTTTCCCGTCGCTGATCTCACCCGTTTGTCGTGATCTCGTTAGCACGGCACTTGTTCTTTCACCATCTTGATCCTTGTTGTCTCTTCTCGCCCACTCCAATCTCTCCTGATCGATCGTCTCTTTGCACACCGCACACTGATCAACTGTTAACTTCACATATGCATGCAAGCTTGTTCGAGCTTATTTCTTTGTTTCATTGTAGCTTGCCTTGCACTTGCCTTGTTGAACTACAAGCAGGCTCCTTTCCCCACTCCTAGAGCTGAAATCTTGAATCCGATGCTTGGGGGTAAAGAAGCTTTCACAGTGGCAACAACAACTTGAGAGGTTCAAAGAACATAGTCCCTGATCGACCATATTGCAGCCTCATTTGTCTTCACTTGAACGTTCAGGATCCTTCTTCTGCTATTTGACTGCCTTGAATCCACAGGATGGTGCCAGCTGCTCCCTGCAAGGCCTAGAAACCTGTGGTCCATTTTTGGTCGTAAAAAGCAGGAGGAGGATCATCCATCAAGAGTGGAGCTCTCTCTCCTGCATCTGTTGCTACACGAGCTGTCGTGTAAACCAACAAGTCTGCCTGCTTCAGTGTGATGGCTCAACGTGCAGCGATTGTGTTCGCCAGCGTGCAGAACCAAGAACAGTATGCAACCCAACCCCGTTCATCCAATGAGTCTTCAAATGCCCTGCATGGCATCCTGAACAATAAAGATGACGAGGACAGCGAAATGGTGTTTGAGGGAGATGTCGTGAAATCAGGAAGCGTGTGGAAACTGTGCTCGGGTGGAAGGCACGACTGGCAAGAGAGGTACATCATCCTCTTGTTTCTCTACACTTTATCTATGTGGATTTGATGCTTGTCCAGGACGTTGGTGGTGACAACAACGCATCTTTATCTTGCCAAGCAAGGAAATAAGAGCGTAAGCCATTGACATGGGATGAGATCTCGTTGAATTGGTTGAGGACAGGCACGAGATGTAGTCCCTCTGCATGAGATCGTCAATGTCAGGACAGCAGTAATGATAAGACAGACTGCCTTATTGATGACCTTGACTTGCTTTCTCTAGCTAAAGGTAGATCAGAGTGTGTCCCTTGCGGGCGCAAAGTTAGCCAGCACGTTGGCTTTCATGTCGGTGAGTCCATCGAACCACAAGATTCGTGTGCACCTTTCCTGAAACATTTGTGCTTCATTCGTGCAAATTGTATGTGGAGATGGTGCTGTCCGTATCAATGTTTTTAATCCTGATGCAAGAAGACTTTCTCTGGAATGCTTTAACTTTGCTGTTCAGACTAACTCAGATGTGGATGCGGCGAATGGAAGGCAAAGCACAAGGCAATCGGGAAACAAAGGTCTCAGCGAGGACGACTGCTTCTGGATCACAACATCAGAGGAGGGAAGTAATGCAGGCAGGACCATTGTGCTCAGAGTAGAGAATAAGGAAAAGGCAGAAGAATGGATGAATTTCATTCGTCAGGTACAGAAATAGAGATGGACCGGTTCACTTGCAGGAATAATGACACCTTGTTCCAACCAAGGCCTCCAAAGCTGCTGCTAGTAAGAAGGAGAGGGAGACTAAGTCGACAGTATTCATCTCTTGTGTACCATTCAGCTCTTTTGATGGGTCTTACAGCTCAAACTGATACGAGACAAGTCGGCGAGAATGTACCATTCGAAATTGTTTCAGGTATCTCTCAATGATTGAAATTAACGCAACCGAACGATTTCCTTTGACCTGCCTTGCCATGACTTTCCTCTGTGCTTGAGATTATCTCAGGCTGTTGACATTCTTTGTTTATATGCGATGTTGCATAGAACAACTTGACCATCTGATCATGAAGTGACGATGCGGCTTTTCAGGGTGTCGTGGCCTCAGTCATCGCACTCAATTTCATTCTCAATATCGCTGAGGCTCAAGTGAGTTGTTTGCCCTTCGTGTTGATGTCACTCAATGCCGTGTTTTACGCTCAGGTGGTCCCAACGCCCAATTCCTACTGGGATAATGTATAGGCTAGCTTCCAAGAAGATTGGATGCCTGATCAAACATTCGCAGTTTTTCGGCAATATGGACATCATTTTCACCTCCTTCTTAGCTTTCGAGTTGTTGTGGAACATAGCGATCCACTTCTTCTGGCAGTTTGTGACGGACGGATGGAACATTTTTGACTTTGTGCGTTTATTGTCTCCATTCTCTGATTTCTTGATCTGTCTTGTCCATTTTCTTTAGCGTGCAGGTCTAACACCTGCATAGATTGTTGTCACCTTCTCTATAGTTGCACTTCTCCCGTCAGTCAGTGAGTGTATGAAAGACCATACGAAGAGGTCTGATCCAACCAACAGATATTCCAATCATAAACTCCCTCCGACTTCTTCGAGTCTTTCGAGCTGTAAGTTTTCCCCTCCTCAATTCTTTCTCCTTTTCTTCACACGACTCTTGCTTTGCTTCAGGTTCGATTATTCCGCAAACTCACGTCTCTGAGGATCCTCTTCAATGCCATGTGACTTGCTTCCTACTGCTCGAACCTACTGATTATTCTTACCCAGCATCGGATCGTTGATCCCTGTCCTCAACTCTGTCCTTGTCCTCGTTGTAGTGATCGTCATGTGAGAACTTTCTATCCCAAAATTGCATAATCATTACCCTTCCTCTCGTATGACTTCCGCCCGTCCTTGGTTGCTCTCTAGCACATTCAAACTGAGTCCCTTCTTTCAGGTATGCCATCTTAGCCGTTGAACTCTACGGGACCCGAGCTCAAGAGTTTTCGAACCTTCACGAGTCGATGTTCTCCATGTATCAGGTATCGCTCGTTCCTCCTCAATTTCCTTTGCGTACAGCTTTTTCTCTGCCTTCCTCTTGTTGCAGTTCTCTTCCTTCCTCAAGCTTGCTCAGATTTTTGTTCTCTCTCTGCTGCTCAAAATCATACTTGCTCCTTCTCTCACCCTTCCTCCTTCTCCTCCTTCCCCTTGCACATACTCGTCATGATGTTTTTGTGCATTATCAGGTCGCAACGGGGGATAGCTGGGCATCGATGCTTGCCAGGTGACAAATTGCAGCGACTGATATCTGCTAGAGCTGAGAGTGCTGGCAAGATCTCTCTTCTACGTTTGTGTCCAGAACGGCAAGGAGGTCGGCACGCCGAACCCACCTGGCGACCCGGCAGGCGTATGCGATGTGAGTGGCAGGAAGGCACCAGCTAAGGAGGGAGAGGGGAAAGGTGGCAGGAAAGTTTGAGCGGGCGAGAGGCGAGGGAGCATGCGAGGAGGACTTATTGCGACGCTATGTGGAGGAGTTTGATCTAGGAGCAGGTGGGACAGAACGAGTTCGATGGGAAGGTCATGATCTTCTTTACGTCGTACTCGGTCAGTCGCAGTCACTCTCACCGGGGCGGAGGGAGGGAAGTGAAAGTGACACGTCAACAGATAATCACGGGGATGGTCTTGTTGAACGTCGTCGTTGCCGTGCTGCTCGACAACTTCACCAGATCTGTTGCACAGGAGGATCAGGCAAGTAGAGCGATTATCGCCTTGCTCATCACACGGTTCTCTGAATTGCGAATGACCATCTCCCCTCAGATTGTCAAGAACGAGAAGGCTGAGAAGCAAGGATCTCGCATGCACAGGTGGAGAGAGGAGCGGGATAACGGGAGGGTCTCGATGATCTTGCTGACGGGTGGTCAGTGCTTCAGAGTTCTGCCTGGACGTGATCATGGATCAGGTTTCCTGCCTGTCCCTCCTTGTCTCTTTCTCCTCACCCCATGCCCAACAGCTGGCAGCCTTCGAGAGCTTAGAGCATTTGCATGACATGACGCTTGCGTTGTTCAAGGTGAAAGAGAGGAGAGGAGAGGAGAGGAGAGGAGAGGAGAGGAGAGGGAGCAGAATTCATCACAGCATCCTCTTCCCACCCATTTCACTTTTGATTTTGTCCTACTCAATCATTTAAGCTTTTTCGAGCCCTTTCCTTGATTCCTCGTGTCCTTCTCCCTCTCACGCATGCTTGCTTGTTGTGTTTCGCTCTTTCTTTATCTAATCGCATGCTGTCCAGGCTGTGAACCTGGACGAGAAGCCAGCGCTTAGCTTCGACGATCTGCAACTGGGCTTGAAGGTCCAGTAGAGGAGCTCAGGGTTTCGGGCTTGACTTAGCCACAGATGCTGGGAACTAAACCCAAGATTCATTTGACATACGATGACTTTGACTTTCTAACCGAGCACTTCTCACTGTCCTGCTCCTCCTCCTTGGTTTCGTTGCTTGCTCATGGTCTCTTCAGGTGCACCCATGACAAGCTTGTGAACTATGAGGGCTTCACCAAGATCATGAAGAGACAGGCAAGCGAGCATGCGAGGAGCAACGGAGAAGTGACACACCACGCAGCTCGAGCACTACACAAACCGGATGATCACCAAGGTGAGCTCACTGCGGGCGCGGCTGTCAAATAGTTGAGACTTCACCCACTCCAGGCCCTGATGGAGGTCGACGATCCTGACTCAGAGAAGGCGGTGACCCTGACAGCGCTGAAGCTCCTCCTCTCCAGTGATGCTTCTCCCTCCCTCTCGCCCTCACCCCTGACGCAGTCGCAGAGAACTCTGCGGTGATGGCGAAGGGGAAGCGAGGTACGGTCTTGACGAGGTCGAACGGAGATCGGCGCAGCTCTAGCGGCAGTCCTGGCCATGGGTCGAACCAGCTCAAGGGGGAGGAGGAGGAGAGTCACAAGGAGGGCGAGGGGAACGGCATCGTCATTGGCAACCGAGCTCCCCTCGTGTCGGTCAAGGCGGAGAACCGAATAGGCGCGCTCTCGCCCAGGAGGGAGGCCAACGAACCGCAGTCGGACATCGAGCCCTCCTACATCATCTTCTGAAGCATCGGCGATGATCGCCAAATCACTCACCTCCACAGTGGATTTTTCTCGGCTATCTTCCCACGAACTTGTTTTCAGTGACCGAGTCCTCTCCCTTAGTCGCCACCCAGTTTTCCTCAAGCTTCTACAGACTCTCTCTCGCTGCCCTTCGACTCTCTTCTCGTTATAGTAGCTCATCATCTCGTGTCTTATTATTATTCAATGATTCATGATTAGGAACTTCAACTTTTTTTGTACATGACCGTACTGCTAGACGCGGCTAGCAGTGGCACTGCAAGACGCGGCTAGCAGTGGCACTGTGGCAGCCGAATTAAACGGCACTGATGACGGTGGCACTGTGGCAGCCGAACTTAGCCATAGGGCCCGCGGCCGCTCAGTGTCGGGCGGCTGAGTGCCGGGATCGGACCCCGGGGCCCGTGAGTCCAGCTCAGTCTTTTACTCAAAGGTGGTAAGTTAAAAAATCAGTACCGCTGAGCGATTTCAGGACAGCTCTGGGGCCACTCTGGGGCGGGCTTCCAAGATGGGTAGTGAGGGGGATGAGGGGGCGATTGGTGCCCAACAAGGTGGATCATGGTTGCATTTTTTGGTAAGGGGAGGGCAAGGGGAGGGGAGGGAGAGGAGGAGCAGGAAGTGAGGGAGGAGGCCAAGAGAGTGTCCTGACAGTCCCTTCAGAACTTTTCCTCTTGTTCTCGGTGCTCTCATGGGCCATGGAGTTATACTTCGATCTTCGGCAGCACAAGAAACTCTGCCAGAAGAAGCTCCCGCAGGAGCTGCAGGGAATTGTGACAGAGGTGAGCTCTTGCATGCCAGTGTCTGGACCGACCTCCGGCACTCTGACTGGATCATGCAGGAGGAATTCCTGAAGGCGAACGAATACAGCAGAGACAAGATCAGCTTCGAGATGATGTCGTCGGGGGTCAACATAACAGCGACCATCTTTTTCTACCTGATGGGAGGATTGTTATGGATGTGGGAAGTCTCCCTTATCCTCATAAAGCCCTTGGGCTTCTCTGAGCAGAATGAGATCTGGCAGTCCGTCTCTTTCTGCATTGTGTAAGGACCATGACGATGTCAAGGGTGATGCTGAAGACCCGCAGGCTCTACGCCAAGTCAATCATCGAGTCCGCGCCCCTGGATCTCTATCAGACCTTCGTGATCGAGGAGCGACATGGTGGAACGACTAAGGCGATGGCACACTCGATGTTACTGACGCGATGAGCGAGGTTTCAACAAGCAGACTCTCAGCCTTTGGTTCATGGATCAAGTCAAGACTTTCTTTCTGGTTGTCGGTATGAGCATGTCTTGCCTCTCATCTCTCGTCCCTTCTCTCTCACATCTCTCTCCTCTAATCTCTTGGTCTTTCTTGCCCTTGTTGTTCTGCTCTAGTTGCCCTTCCCATCCTTTCACCACCTGCCATGAAGGATAGAAACTGACTGAACGTCGCCAGTGCTTCTGTTTCCTGCGGTTGCTGGCGGTGTGTTTCACGTCTACAAGAGTACATGGAAGCTATCGTGACATTTCTGAAGGAATTCACATCATCATCTGGGGAGGGAAAGACTTTTGGTTTTACATCTGGAGTTTCTGCCTTGTGCTTGTGCTGGTGTTTCAGACCATCTATCCTCAAGTCATACAGGTCAGGCAGTAGCAACCAATCTGACGAGGATGGGAGACTGATGCTGCTGATGCTGCAGCCCTTGTTCAACACCTTCACACCCTTGAAGGCAACTCTCTTGTCATGCTCTTCCTCACGATCTTAGAGGCCACAGGACGGAAGTTTGAAGTCGGCAATAGAGGATCTTGCGCGAGCACACAATTTCCCGCTGAAAAAGCTCTTTGTGGTCGATGGTGAGCAACGTTTCTGTCTGGGGCAGAGGAGAAATCTAAAGGCTCCCAGGCTCCACCCGGTCAAGTCACAGCAACGCATATTTCTACGGCAAGTGACACTTGCCGTCCTTCCTGCTTCTCTCCTGTGAGACTCAGACAGGCTTTGGGAACAACAAGCGTGTTGTGCTCTTTGACACTCTCAACCTGTCTCTCCTGGGGAAAGAAGAAGTAGGCAGCATCGCGTCTCTACGATGTCTTGAGTGCCTGACTGGCTTACAGAAGAATGGTCAGGATGAGACTGGCAAGTCAAAGGAAAGCAAGAGCTCGGGCTGTAAGATCGAAGAGATCGTTGCGATCTTAGGTCCTTCTCCCCGCTCTCACTCGCTCCTCTCAATCTCTTGTCAGGTCACGAACTCGGACACTGGGCAAAGGCGCACATCTACAAACAGGTCAGTGATGCTGCCGCGACAATCGACGTCCCTCACTCTGAGCCTGCCTCAGCTCTTCGTCGCCGAGCTCCACCTGCTGATCTTCTTCTACATGTTTGGCTACATGCTCCACAACCAAGGTCCTTGCCTCCTCTGCGCCGCCACTGACCTGACTGCTTCCCCTCAAGAGATGTACGCCGCCTTCGGGTTTCAGAGCAAGAGGCCTGTCATCATTGGCCTGATTCTCTTCTCCAACATGGGTTTCCTCCTCCTCCTCCTCCTCCTCCTGTCTTGCTCACGTCTCCACTCAGTCAACCCTGTGGAGCATTTCGTGCAGTTCTTCCAGCAGTTCGTGACAAGGATGTTCGAGTTTGAGGTTCAGTCCTCTTGCTCACATTGTTAGCTCTTATTTGCCATCAGGCCGACAGGTTTGCCGTAGAGCAGGGACACGGCAAGGAGCTTGCAGCAGCGCTCGTGAAGATCAGCACGGAGGTTTGTCGATGACTGTTCCGATGATGGGTTTCTTGCTGTTTGACGTTCAATGATGAGCATGGTCATGACAAGGCTGGTGATTGTTGTTGACTATGCTTGCTCTTGTGCAGAACAAATCAAACCTCGACCCGGACCCTCTTTGGAGTGCATACAACAATTCGCATCCTTCGCTCGTGGAGAGGTTAAGGGCGATGACAGCCCATGCCTCCGTGCTTGAGGCCAGACAGAAGAAGTCGAACTGATTAAAATCTGGCCCGGCCTGAGAGCCTCAAGCCTGCCGGACCCGGTACGGTCGCTCGGACCGTTGGCTTCGAGTCAAGTCAACTTGATGCCGCACTGTCCGAGATTCAAGTTCGGGCTGCGCCGGGCCCGGGGCTCGTCCGGCGCGGCCCGGGGCCCGGGGACTCCGGGCCAGGCTGACCGCCGCCGGGCCGGGCGGCCGGGGCGCCGGTCCGTGATCGGCGGACGGCGTCACAGTGTGCCGCAATGACCGACAGTCTCATGGTCCGACGGACACCCGGCGTGGCACGCCGCGCCGGGTTCGGACCGTGCGGTCCGACCGGTGTGCCGTGCGCCGGGCGGCGCGGCGGGCGGCCCTCCGAGACAGTCACCGGAGGCAAGTTACATGAGACACTGTCAATCCTTGAAGTTCAAATGATCCGAGCGGCCTCAGTCTCATGGCCTTCTACTATTGGCGTAAATTGGCAAGTGAAGTTCAGGTGCCAGCAGTGAGGTCACAGTAGTGGGCCTCCGACCGTCGGACTGTCAGCACAGCGGGTCGGGCTGTGAATGCAACTTCATAGCGGGCATCAACAAATCTGATAGTCAGTCATTTGCTGTCCTCGCAGCATAATAAGTAATAGGCTGAGGGGGAGGGTATGAAGGGGTTCTTGACTCTGAGGCGGGTGTGGATATGAGGGTTGTTGGAACGCCTGGCGTTAAAAAAAGCATCAGCAACGGAGATTTTATTTCTAGGGTGGGGTAGTCAGATGAGAAAAAGAGGGGTGGACATCAAGGGGGTGGGAAACGTGGCCCAGTGGGTGTCCTTTTGGATTTAACTCCTAAAGCATCTTCTGAAGGTCGCGACTCTTCTAAGTCGGGTACATAGTTCAAACGCCTAACATCCGACCTCAGCCTTCCTCACATCCGGAAGGGAAGGGGTTGCCCTACGTAGAGGGCACCTAAAGGGCAATACCTCGGACGAGTGTGCATTCAGCACTGTGCGAGGTAGGAGGGAGAGGTCAGACACTGTGCGCTTTTTACTTAGTTCCTCACTTAAGGAAAGTGTATACATTGAAATAGACTAGATGGGCATTCAAATCAAGTCATTGGAGGCAGATGCAGGGGGTGGGGAATAACTGGGTTCCAGTAACACCGGGTGAAGTTAAACGCAAAAAGAGTCAGAGAGGGGGTAGGGGTACTATCTTGGAGGACAAAACGAGGGGTCCCAGGGAACGCGGAGTGCGGAAACCCTCACCGTTTGGGCTTCTTAACTCCGAGGGGGAGAGGGAATATGAGGTCAACGGAGCGGCCGCAAGGAAGCATATCGGATCAAGACTTGTTCGAACATCTTTGAAGTTCGAACATCTGTGACAAGTGTTGAAAAGGCGACGTTGCATCGACTGCTGTTGAAGTCTTGTTGCATTGTTGGCGAGCTTCATTTAGGTTTTTCAGTGTTGAAAATTGTTCATTGTTCTGTATTTAGTGGGAAAGGTTACTACTTGATATTCGGCCATGAGGATGAAGAAGAGCGAAGAAAAGAAGATTATTATGGATATGCTTATGGATGTTTCTCCTGAAACTGAAGAATTGGAGAGAAAAGCCTTTGAGTTCATCGAAAAAAGGTTAATGTCAAGGTCTGCGATGATACAGCGGACTAGAAGCGACGAGGAAGTCATTTTGTCAGCCAAAACAAACGATTCTGAAATCCCATGCTGTTCCATCTCGATGTTGAGATGTAGCTCTTGTGATTCGCCATCGGGTGCTACGACCAAAAAAGTGATGGAATTCATGAAGGCGAGAGAGGACGAAAGCACGCCTTCGTCCTGCACTGAGTTGAATGCTGGGAGGAGAAGATCCTCAATGCGATCAAATAGCATTATCACGGAGCCAGAGAGATTGCTCAAATGCTATTTGAATGTTTTTTAATCTCTTGATTCACCTCCTTATCCATGTGACGGTGTATCTGTTTCGTGTACAGTGAAGTAAAAGTTGTTGTAAATGAATAAAACCCGAAATTGACGAGCGACGTATTCGTGGGATGGCGTGCAACGTCAGTGAGAGCTCAACCACGGTTCCTGGTTGAAATGAATCGACAATGATTACACCGAAGGTCTGCGGGCACAACGTGTTTTCAAAGACACAAGACCACGGAGCCGAAAAAATATTTATTCACCTAGTGTATTTAAAAAGGGGTTGTGAAACCTTCGCATCTGTATCTACTTGCAACGCGGGGAGATCCCCGAAACAAAATGTAGAAAGTAGACTCAGAAAAGCTTGAGCAAGTCCTCCAGAGAAGCGGGCTCACTTGGATTGCATTGTGTAGGTTCACTGCAGGCTCTCACAAAGTACTGTTTCTTCACAGGTTGAAATTCCGATTTTACCTTGAAACTGTTTGATTTTTTGATCTGGGAAAGCTGGACCAGATTGTTTAAGCTTGTAAGTTGTTGTGAGCCTCGCCTGGCTTGACTAGATTTCTGTAACCTTTCAAAAGCCTCTTTCTCAATGTCTAAGACATCTGGATCTGGGTTGAGCAAAAGATTTTTCAGCTCTTCCGAGTTGAGTTTGAGTGACATCCAGTTAATGATCGCGTGCAGGAATTTTTTTTGAGCCAATGACGAAAAACGTTTCCGATTGAAGTTGTTTTGATGAATAAGTGGCAATTAGGATCGTGAATCTTCTCAACCTTCTTGCTGTGAATTATTCCAAGAAGAATCTAACGAACCGTCCGGTTTTCAATGTCACTCTCTTTCTTCACTCAAATCTTTTCTAAATTGAAGATTGCATCGGTGGTGCAGAGGCAAACAAAAGCAAGAGCCTAAAGCGGGATGCCACGTGGTCGGTCGGTCAGTCTTCTTTCTCTCTCGTTTCTGATCTCTCGTTTGTTTGTCTCCGCTCTCCCCTCCTCTCCTCTCTCCTCTCTCCTCTCTCCTCTCTCTTCTCTCCTTGGTTCCTTCGTCGGGCTATGTAAATAAAAGTAGTACGTGCAAGCTCACGCTGAGATACGAGCTGCTTCGGAAAGGGGTGGGGTGACGGAGAAAATGATATGAAAAAGGGTAGGGTCATCAGTACCCCTCTTTTTGTATGATATTTTCAGGGGTAAAGGTTGGATTTTCTGTAAGGGAGCTAACAACAAGTAGGGTGGGGGTATGAGGATTTACACTTTACCTGCACCGGTGGTTGCTGAGGAGTTCGTCTGGTGTGTTTTCTTTTGACGGGATGAGTGGATAGGGGTGGGGTGACCAGAAAAGGCGAAGATCAATGGATGGGCTGATTTGCATATGGCACCTATTATAAAAGTAGGCAGGATATACCTTGGTTTTTAAATGACTTCTGCAGGGAATGTCGGAAACACTGACCGGTGGTGTCCAGGTGGTACTGATCAACTTACAAGAGGTAGCGGTATCCTGGGGGTGGGGTACAGTTTAAAATACTGGTTTTACTATGTATATGTTCAAGTCGATCAAGCAGGGGGTCTTTTGATATGGAATGTGGGGGTGAGGGTACTAGGAGTCTGCTAAAAGAAGATTGTAAAAATCTGCAGATTACAGCGAAACACATTGCTTGGATGTGAACACGTTCAAAGGACGTGACAGCATATTTAGTGAAAATTCATATAAAATCATATAAATTCATATAAAATCATATAAATTCATATAAATTCACTCAATCTACCGCCTGTTCAAATTGGACTTGAATGGAGACCGTGAAAAAAAACTTGGGGCCTCGATACGCCGCTAATGCCACGTTCTATTGTTCACAGCGATTTTAAATGCCCGTGCAAAACAACCTAAATTTACCCCTTGCGCTAACGTCCGGCCTGACGCTTTTATTAGTTATAGGATACAAGTTGGTCGAAGGGGTAGGTAGTTGTCGGAGGCACGGGGGTAGGGGTACTCTTTAATGAGTAAAAACACCGGCCGTCAGTCGCCGCCCCGCGCGGCCAGGATTCCCGGGCCGGGCTGACACTGAGGAGCGGCCTCCGGGCCCGGGACGGTCACGTTGAATGGCACTCTAGGCTCGGAGGGGAGGGTGGTCCTCCAAGGCTCGGCCCGTTGGGGGGTCACTGAATGAGATACTCGGGGGGGGACCGTACTGGGGTGGTGACTTCACGATGAAGTTGGAACAGGGGCCGAACCGTGGGGGGGTAGGGGGTAGGCTCAGTGATGCCGGGAGATCCAGCTGCGCTATGAAGATGCGGGCATGGCAGATCGTGGGGCTGCTGCTGGTGCTGTGTAATGCTGACAACAGCGAGCCTGAGGGCGGCATGGCAGCATCCGTTTCAAGTGTCGCAGCCAGTGCAGAGCGACTTGCGTCCGGCAACGCTGTATACGTTGAGCATAGCTCAGGGGCAAAGATGTCAATGTCGGACTATCACATCAGATCGCTCGTCGAGAACGGATGGCCTGGCTGGAAGATGTACACGATTCGATGCAACGAGGAGTATAAAACCAGCCTGCAGGAGGAGCTCTCCAAACTTGATGGTGAATTGAATGTTCGTTGCGATTGCAGGGTTTGCTTTATGCCAACAGTTGATCTTGACCGTGTGCGACAGCTCACCGGTTTTGTGAGCGCTACACCCGTCAGAGGATACAGCACTCCTGTTGAAGCAGCTGAATCAGTGAGGAGCTCTTCACGAGAGGAGCGGACCAATCTTGCGACGAGCCTTCATTGCACCTCGGAACAGCCAGACATTGATCAGTTTGTGGTTTCCCTCGGTCATTCGTACGCCAAAGAGACTGTGCTCGCATGGAGTCAGAAAATCGTTGAAAGCTTGTCACTCGAAAGACAGCTCACGCTAGAGCACATATCCAATCATGAGGTGATCTTATGAATGTGGTTGAAACTGCCTGTGTAGCAAAAGCCTAACCAGTCCTCTCCAGGTTCGGGCAATAGTTTGCACAAGTCATAGCACGCAGTTTCTGAAGGAGGTTGCAGGCTTCAACGATGTGATTTCAATGAGAAAGCTGAACCGCAACGTCAAAGTAGATTCGCAGGCAGTTTCTGGCTCGAGAAGATCGAGAAGTGCAGGTCGCTTCCTAGAAGATCTAGTCGCAACGGAGATCTTATTATTGGGGCTTCAGGGAATGTACACGATGGAGCGGTTCGGCCAGGAAGAAATCATCACCGTATCTGACTCAGGGCTGGACTATGACAACTGTCTGTTCAAAGACCCTACAAGCGACGTCTCTGCTTGCACTTCGCACGCTTCTTGCATCAAACAAATCAACCGAGATCATCGCAAAGTAGTTGGGTACGAGCTCTTGCCCAATGCCAAAATAGGAGACAGCTTCCAGGGGAGAGGGACAGAGATGTGCGGATGCATCAGCGGTAGTTCCTTAGTTGAGGGTCCCGAGGCTCCAGTGATCAATATCGGGCTGGCTCCCGCAAGCAGATTGTTCATTCAGGACATATCCGACGATACTTCACCTATAACCTATCACTACCCTTTGCATGTGGGAGCGAGTCTGTTGCAGACCTCCCATGAGATTGGAGCCCGTGTGCATGTGATTGCCTGGGATGACATCAATCTTGCAAAGCAAGTCAATGTCACTGATCTAGATGCTTTCGTGTTCTCGCACCCTGATTACCTGGTGGTGGTGGCTGGCGCTGGGAACAAACTGAAAAACAACCCCCTTGGCCTCGCCAAAAATGCCTTGACAATTGGAGCTTATCAATTTACCGAGGTGATCCAGCCTCAACAGGATGTCTTCCAAGTCCACTTCTCTTCCCCTGACTTCCACCTGATGGTCACGATGTGGATGGCTGCGTGTTTTCCCTTGCCGGAGTCAACCTCCGATCTCCAGATAACGGGGAGGGTAGCCTTTCTAGAGGACGAAGTGTTCTGTCCGGATGAGCATGTTACTGCGATTTCAGGGTCCGTGGTTGTCGTCGGGTTCTCAGGTCATTGTGCTGCGACGCTGGAATACTGGAAGGTTCTATTGGGAAGCCTGAAAGCAGCAAGACCTGATGCTGTCCTGCTGGATCGGCGGATGGGGCAGGTCCCTTGCTCCCTGGTCACTGCTCTGCTGACAAACTCGAGCTTCCTCTTGGCGACGGTTGACCTCCGTCAAAATGACATAAGCCTGTTGGAGGAGAGCACAGGAGTGACTGCCTCTCTCCCCTTCACTGCCTCCTTCGACAAGCAGATCGCTCCGTTCTCTTCCACTGGCCCTGTGGGGGACGGGCAGATCAAGCCAGAAGTCTTTGCTCCTGGCATCTCCATCGAGGCAGCGGAGTCAGACGCCGATTTGACATCGTTCGAGTGCGGGAAAGACGCGGTCGTGGAGGACGATGGAGCGCATCTGTCAGCTGCGCTCGTTTCTGCCACCGCTGCCCTGATACGACAGCAAGTCAAAGATGAGAAGTTTACGGGGAGCGCTTCACTCGTCAAGGCCATCCTCCTTCATGCAGCACAAGACTTCCAAGATGACGCGCAAGCTCTCAGCGCCTGTCCTCCCAACTGTCGTCAGGGACACGGGGCAGTCAACGTCTTCAGCATGTACCGAGCGCGGGATGGACCCTCGCTCTTCCTCCTTGATGACGTCACCATCGACCGAGGAGGAGTGGCGATTCGATGCTTCTTTGTCAAGGGAGCCAACGAGCCGCTTACTGTGACGCTGGTGTGGACAGACCCGCCATCAGCTGAGAACCTCCTCGTGAGCGATCTCGACCTAATTGTGCGACATGGCGGAGAGGAGATGTGCGGGAATGGAATCATGTGGAAGGAAGAGGGCGGAGACGTCCTTCGGGCGCAAGACGACGTGAACAACAACGAGAAGGTGACGTAGGAGGAATGCGAGTTGCAACGGGAGGTGGAGTGAGAGCAATGGAAGAGATAGCTTGGAGGTGGAAAGGGGAGGAGGCGAGCTCACTGTTTGTTGTGTTTGACAGGTTGTCGTCTCCTCCCCTCAAGTGTCGGCTACCTACAAGGTGATGGTCTCTGCCCTCAGGATGCGGACTCCGCGGCAGAACTTCTCGCTTGTTGTCTCTGGGAACTTGACTGAGGTTTCTCCCTGTCCTTATCCCTCCTGCCCGTCTGGCTGCCACGGTCATGGGGATTGTCGGAAGGGGATCTGCGTTTGCGACTTCCCCTACTTGGGTTCGGACTGCAGCGGCCGGATACCTCTGCTGCAGGAGGGAGTCAACCAAATCTCCGTCCTTCAAACTTCCCGATCCTTCTCCTGGTGGAACACGACAAGTCAGCAGAGAGACTGGTTCCTCACCGTCAACCCTCCGCAAGGCCGCCAGGTGTGTCGGGTCTTCCTGCATCGCGACAAGGTGCCGTCCCCGAACGACTTCAGTGCTAAGATCGAGCTCCTCTCCTCCTCTCCCCTTCTCACTTTCTCCAGCGTGACCCTCCCCGGCACAGGAGCGTGGGTCCTCGCAGTGGCTTCTGTTGGTGCCTCCAACTGCAGCATCCTCGTCGAGCTCGATCGGCGGCCTCTCAATTGCTCCCCCTGCCCAGCTGGGCAGTTTGCCTCCTCCTGCAAGGCAGGTGCTACTTGCCAGGCATGCGCCAGCTGTCCTCCAGGAGAGCACCGGGACGGGTGTGGGGGAGCGAGCGAGGGAGAGTGCAGGAAGTGCGACGACTGTCCGGAGGGGATGTTCCGGACGGACTGCAGGGACCAGAGCGAAGGTGACTGTCATGCTTGTCAGGAGGATGTGTCCTCCTGCTTGGGCTCAGCGATGCAGCAGCTGCAGGAGAACACAATCGTCTTCGTAGTCTCGATGGAAATGCCCCTCTCCAAATTCCTGAATTCTTCTCTCACCTTCCGCTCCGCTATCTCTCAAGTCGCATCCTGGCCCCTCGACAAGATCCTGTGAGTTTCTCATCCTTGCCGTCCTCCTCTCTTCTGACAGCCAGCAGGCTGCTGGAGAGCTCGTCTGTCTCTTCCATCGCCACCACAGCGTTTTCCCCTTCCCCCTCCTCTCCTCGTCGCTCTCTGGACCCGAGCACAGACCCGGCCAACAACGACAGGACGCAGGTCGTCGTTGCTGTTCTCTTGGGCAAGGAGCGCCTAGACTTGATCCCACTTCTTTCTCTTCAAAGGATTAACGATGCTCTGGCACAGCAGGTCCACCTCTCCCTCTCCCTCTCTCTCTCTCCCTCTCCCTCTCCCTCTCCCTCTCCCTCTCCCTCTCCCTCTCCCTCTCCCTCTCCCTCTCCCTCACTGACCGTCTCCCCGCGTTCACAGGGCTTTCCTCCTGTCCGGCTTCTTGTCAGCCCGTTCTTGAAGATCGTCTTCCCGGAGGAGACAGGAACTCCCGTCGTGACTACGACTCCGGTCTCCTGCTCCTCACCAACAACACTTCAAGTTTTCTCTTTGTTTCAATTTTTCTCCTTCTCTTTCTCGTTGCCAGCCTTCTACTTCTCCTCCTTGTCCTAGTCTTCATCGTTCTTGTCTTGCCGCTCCTTGTCCTGTTCCGATTGCTTCTCATCCTCGTTGTGTCTTCCCCTTTTCCCATCTCTTGATTATCCTTCTCGATTGCTTGCCTCTTCCTCCCTTATCCACTTCCTCGCCCGTCTCTCGATCCTTCAACTCTTCACATTGGCTCAGGACCCGTCAAATAAACTTCCTGTGCCCTTGATAGTCGAGATAATCGTAGGAGTCGCTATCTTTATCTGCTCCTTCGCTTCCTTTTGGCTTCTCAGGTCAGTCTTTCTCCTCCCTCCTTCCCCTATCCTCTGGCTCTGGCTCTGGCTCTTCCTCCCTTGCTCCTCCCTTGCCTATCTATACAACCTTAGGGTTGACAAACGATCAGGTACTGGCGAAAAGAAGTCTCGACGGGCGAGCGGGTGAGGGAGTGGGGAGGAGTAGCAGAAGTTAGAGAGGGAGGAGGCACAACTAACAGCCGTACAGGTCCACCTACGCGGAGCCGTGGGTGAGGAGGAGGAGGAGGAGGAGGTTTGATGTGAGGGAGCAACTGACGGGCTTGTAGAGATGCAGACTATCCCTCACCCGACAGCCCCCGAGCTGCCGGAGGTCTACGCGGAGCTGGTCTTCCAGGAAGTGCAGATGATCGAACAAGGGATGAGAGCCATGGAGGAGGAGGATGAAGGAAGGCAGGGGAGAGCATCAGGGATGGAGCAGCCGTTTATCGGGCTTGCATGATATCGGAGAGTGATATAGTCGAAGAGGAGTAGGAGGGGGCGGGGGGGGGGGCGGGGGAGGGGAGGAAAGGCTTGTAAATAAGAAGGTCTAGCAGCATGCGTCTCATAGCGAGTCTTTGAGCCACTTTGCAAGAGCCTCCACGTGTCTGCGAATGTATCGTCAGCTGGGAAGCAGGTGGGCAGGGACAGCACGTCTGCTCCAGCTGTTCTCCTCTCTGCTCTGCCGCCGTCCTCAGCCGCGTCATGGCGAGGTCGATGCCTTGCGCGTCATAGGAGACTTCATGGAGCGACTGCTGGCTCGTAAGGAAGAATGGAGACGAGTGAGGAAGAGCGGGCGAAGGAAGGGAGACAGGAGCGGGAGCGGGAGCGGGAGCGGGAGCGGGAGCGGGAGCGGGAGCGGGAGCGGGAGCGGGAGCGGGAGCGGCAGGAACCTCAGCAAGCGCCTCGACGAGATTGGGGAAGAGAGAGTCACTGTAGACCTGTGCGCACATTAACCTTGCGGACCCTTCTTGCTCCTCGTGGTCCGTCCGTTACGTCTGTCTGTCTAACTCCTTCCCCTCCTCCCTCCCCCCTCCTCCTCGTCGTCGTATACGACTTCATTGGCTCACCTTCGCCTCGAGGATCTGACCTTTCTTGCTGTTGATGCAGACATCGATGGTTCCTGCATAGCGAGTGAGCGGAACTAACGAAATCATGAGCTCCATGACAGCAGACAGACAAGACGGACAACAACGTTGGTGAAGATGATGAAAGATGACAGGCAAGGAGGCAAGAAGAACGACAGGAAGTGAGAGAGAAGGGGAGGGAATAGAGCAGGGAACAGAAGACATGGTCGACAGATACTCACCCCATGGCATCGGAGATTCAAACCTTCCCTCAAGCTCGTGCCTGCCCAACAGTCTCATCCCCTCCCTCCCTCCTCCCTTTACTCCGCACGTGAACTCAGGCGTCTCTCCGAACCTCCACTTGTTATCCTTCATCGCCTCGTAATATTTCTTCACTGCCCGTCAGGTCCTGCCTTCGCCCTTCTATTCCTCCTCACTGTCAGCGAGTCTTCTTTCCTCAGGTCCCCTGAGTGCAGTGTCTCCGGCTCCACCCGATCGCTTCTGCGGGAAGGAAGGGAAGAGATGGAGGGGGAGGGGGAGGGGAAGAAGCCAAACAGGGGAAACCAGGGAGAGAAAGGAACGGGGAAGACAAGGTTCATGTCAATTTTGACTAGACATGTAAATTCTATTCGTACGTCTTTCCTTGCCAGCTCTCACTGCTGACCTGACGTTTCCTCCCTCCTCCTCCTCCTCCTCCTCCTCCTCCTCCTCCTCCTCCTCCCCCTG